CAGAACGCACTTTGCGGTCCTCTTCAAATCTAACCCTTGCAGTCCCACTCCATTCAACTGATTGCTTTTCATATTCCTTCTCTGTGCATTCTGTTCGGTTGTGGAACTCACTACCTGAAACAATCCGAAAGGTTCGCATTCTAAGCTCGTTTAGTGATCAAGTTAGAGGTTATTTCCTTTCCCAACTTTAAGTCTTACCTCTCTCTTTGTAATTTGTATATATCTATTGCATCTATTATTCATTATTTATTTTACCATACCTGCTACACCCCCTCTTCTTGTTCCTCTTATTTTTTTGAAGTTATACTTTCGCTCTAGCGACCAACTTCATGCTAGGCTTGTTGAAAATATATCGATGTATCGTCTCGTATACATCGATATTTTTTGCCGATATATTTTGATTCGATATATCGATACATCGATACAAAATAACCAATATCGAAATTCGTATCAAAAACGATATTTTTTTAATTATTAGCGGCATATCACGATCTAACTAAATTCGTATCTGGAAAAATCGTAACTGGATCTCAGATTAATGATATACAACATATCTATGATCTGTGCGGTATTTAGTATTGTCTATGTCATCATTCGAAAATAGGGTCTATTTTTAGGGAGATAATTTTCGTTCCATTATTATTCCGCGTGTCATATTTCGTGAGCGATATTTTTGGGAAAATTGGTCCGATATATCGATGTTTTTTTCGCGATATATCGAAGCCGATATTGATATTTTTTAAAATATCGATGTATCGATATTTTTGACGTGACAACGTCTTAAATTAGGTTGCGGCTGGGAGTCACTTATGAAAAAGTGTAACGCTCGGTAACGTTACGATGAGTCTCTCGTGTTAAGTTTAAGTTTACATGTACAATGTTTTAGTAAACAAAATATATTTCTATAGTTAAAATTTGTGCAATTCTTATTTTCATTCAATTCCTTGTTCCTATTGTGCAATTTAATTATATTCATATCAATAAATATTCTACCGAGAAAAAGACGTTGTCACGTAAAATCTTCGCCCGTAAAACCGACTTTACAGGCAACCATTTTTTCAACTTTCGACATCCCTACTTCATGCGTTACTTTTGTGTTTACCGCACATTATGAAAATATACCAATAAAATAGAAATAGAATCTCTATAGGGTGCTAACGACTGCATTGTGAAGGCCTATCAAAAGTATTTATTAATCTGGAACAACGGAACCAAAGCGCGATTCAGGAGACTACATCGCCATCTCTTGACCATTGGTGTAGTAGAACCAAAAACCACATCTTTATTTTTTGTAATAAAGTAACAAAAAGTATTTATTAATCTGGAACAACGGAACCAAAGCGCGATTCAGGAGACTACAGCGCGCCATCTCTTGACCATTGGTGTAGTAGAACCAAAAACCACATCTTTATTTTTTGTAATAAAGTAACAGTTATAGGTATTCAAATTTATAATATTTATCCACATGTTTCTAGTTTGTATATTCGGAATACGTGTTTGAGTTTCATACAAGTGCAAAATTCAGTAGCGATTTTAATTGAATATTTTGATTATTTATTTATTTTTTCAAATTATAACTGAACTTTATTGACTGTGTCCTTTTCCAAACTTTTTATTAATTTATTGTAATTAATTATTTGCATGCAATTAAAAACTAATTTTAAACGATGCCAAAGAAGGATAACTTCTCACGCGCCTACATAAGTACACGCACCCATTTTTTTATTTCACGGTCATGGGTTGCCTAGAGAGATTGCTGTTGACTGTTTAGCAATAAGGTCGCCTATTGTGTACGTTTTCACTGTCATGTTTAATGTCTTGTATGTCCTGTGAGGTGTATGTCAATAATAGTTATTTATTATACAAGAGTGGAAAGTTCCTTTTTAACCGCGTGCTCGATTTGGATGACCGAGCAAGCGAAGGATTCTAAAGTTGAATCACGAGCGCAGCGAGTGATTCTAAATTAGAATCCTGAGCGTCAGCGAGGGAAACAAACGAGCACAAGGTGAAAAATCTTTCCACTCGAGTGCAATACGTAACTTTTCATCCCACCTCAGCGAGGAAATGACAAAATGAAAAAGAAAACAATTTATAATGACAAAATATTTTTATTTCAATTAAAACACATTAAGATAATCTATAAATTGAAGAAAATAATAAGAAGTAGAAAATAATTAAGAAATATTAAATGTAACGTTGCTACAGTTACTTATGTTAAGTTTAATATTTTTGTTAGGTAATGTTATGTTGGTGTTTGTGAATTGTGCGCTGTTTTGTGGTAAACTACTCGTATCAGTAATTTTAAATAGTTGTGCCGATTCATTGGATTCTATTGGCGTAAATGTTGGCGAGAGAGGGCTATTGTTTCCAATCTTATGGGGGCTCATTTTAGATGTAGAAGGGCGAGACCAAGAATCTGACAGAGGTTCTTTCAGCGTTATGGCCTCCACGATACTATTACAAATTTTTGATTTACTTTGGATTGAATCCTCTATGTATCCCTCTACAACCGAATTAGACTTCCAGCCTCCATGGCGCTTAAGCGATAGAAGATCAGCCCCTGATTCGGCCAAAAGTGTGGCTGAGGTTCTTCTAAAACAGTGACCGGTGTATAACGGGGGTTCTAAAAGTCCGAGAAAAGTTGCTATTTCTCGTGGAATACTGCCAATTTTATTCTGACCCATAGGTTGTCGGATACACTTTCCGTTGCGATATTGTAGAAAAAATCGTTCAATTGGGGTGTTAGAAGGACGTAAAGCTTGATATTTCTGAACAATGTTTACATATTCCTTGCGAATAACGAAGTTGCGGTCTTTTTTTGTCTTGGTATTTAGTACATTAATTAATAGCAATTCATCAGAATTATGAGAATATTTTGATACGTTATTGACATTAAGTAGTGTAAGTTCATTTGTTCGACATGCTCCGGTTATACCAATAATAAGAACAACCTGTAACAAAAGAAGTATTTATAATCGTAAATAAATTAATCAAATTAAAAATATTGTAAGTACTATGTACAATTTTATCAACAACAAAAAATTACACGTATTGACTTACTTTTGCCGCTAAATATACGGAATCAGGTGCTTCATTAATAAACTTTGCAATTTCAGATGCTGTGAAAACCTTCGATTTTTTTGGTTTATAACCAGATGAGGCTCTTTTTAAAAATGCCACTAATTTATGATAGGTGTCGATATGAACGTCTTTCTTCATCTTAATTGTTAATTTTAGCATTGAATACGTACTCCATAGCGTGCTTGCTTTCTTGGTCTCAGATAATTCTATAAAATATGCCAGCAAAACGTTTTCGGAGAAAGTTTTTGCTCCTTTAGCTAGTCGCCACATGTTAAATATATCGTACTGTTTCAAATACTTCTCTCGTGATTGCTGAGGGAGAAGGCTCATTTGCGCATTATTAACTGTTTCAGTTAACTCAGTTGGCGTTAGATAAACTTCATCGTCGCTAATGTCACTCATTTTAGTTGATTTTTTTGTACAGTTTTTAGGTTATGTTAATTATATTAAGCAATAAAACGTGAAAAACTAGAATGGCGCGAAGCACGCAAATAAAACAAAGAAACCAAGAAGGTTCCAAATTTAAATTTTTTCACAATTTAAAAAGTTCTAATCATAAATTTGGCACCATAGAGGTTACATTAAATAGGTTTAATGACGTTTTGAATTTACAATTATATTGAGTACTCATTATATGTGATGTTCTAAATTCAAATCTACTTTGCCGCTCAAGCGAATAAAATAGAATTTTCCAGCCAGATTTCGAAGCGCAAAATTACACTTTCCGAGGTGGTGGGATGAAAAGAATATTATTATTAATGCGACTCAGTGGCGCACAATGCCGAATTATGCTGATGCTTAATTGGAATGTGAGTTAATTTTCAAATGCACCAGCAGAGTACGCTAAGTTCAGTGTTGAAAAAAAAAGTCAATGTTTGCACCTTCATCCATATTTATATTTATTTGTGAAGTTATACTTCTTTAGGCGCGTTATGAAAAAATGATGAGAGTGAAATTTTTAGATGCGCGCGCATCACTGTAACCCAAAAGTAACAGCATGAAGTTGGCCGCGGGCGCGTTATGAATGTTAGTGTCTAATAATGGTGCCAATTCTGGCGTGATTCTCTAAACTTAAATCTAAATTTAACATCAGTCTCTCCTTTTCATGCTGTATAGAGAATAACAAGGATACACTGTTGTCAAATTTAAGTTTAGGTTTAGAGAATCATGTCAGAATTGATACCATTGGTGGATTATAACCACTTAATGGTGTCGATTCTGGCGTGATTCTCTAAACTTAAAACTAAATTTAACATCAGTCTCTCTTTTTCATTCTGTATAGAGAATGACAAGGAAACACTGTTGTCAAGTTTAAGTTTAGATTTAGAGAATCGTGCCAGAATCGACACCAGTGGTTAATATTGTGTGCTGGCCGCACCCTAAGGGTGCGGCCAGAGTGCACTCAGATTCAGATTCAGATTCCGAAAACAAGCGCGAGAAATAAACAGTGTAGTCGAAGGGTACGGCCAGAGTGCACTCCTGATTCAGATTCAGATTCAGACTCAGAAAACAAAGCGCGAGAAAAAGCAGACAACCTGCTTAGACTACACTGTTTATTTCTCGCGCTTGTTTTCGAAATCTGAATCTGAATCTGAGTGCACTCTGGCCGCACCCTAACATTGGAAAGCTACGGGTCTCTCGATCTCGAGCTCTTTGTAAAGGTGAAATCATGGACCAAGGATTTCGCTACGCTATATCATGGCTAAGTTACTGAAATGCTTGATCCCACACGGACATAACCAAATTCTTGTAACATAATATTAAACTGTAAATACTTACCTGATCCCTTACTTTTAAATTTCCGATTCCTTTTTTATCCTGTTTTTACCTTTACACTTGTATGTGGCAGACGCATAAGCCGTGTAGGCTATAAAGGAAAAAAAACAAATTCTTGGCCCACGCTCGGTTCACAGATTAGTGTAGATCCGTCCCTGACGTATCTGTTTTGTTGTCTGACTTTTCTTTCTTTCCTCTTTCTTCCTTCCTTCACTGCACTGACTTGCTCACTTGCGAATACGATCGATCGCGAGTAGGTGTCTTAGTAGTTGTGCGGTAGTTTGCGGTCGGTGGGGTTTCAAAAATGGCTCTTTTCAGGATTACATCAACAAAATTATTAGATGTACAGGTAAATATAGCATATTAATTATATAATTTGGTTTATAAACCAATTTACTTTTGATTTCTTTATTGCGCCTTTTATAACCTTACCTTCATTTATAAAGTCGTGAAGAAGTTATGTAATGTGCATAAAACTATTTTGGGCATATTTAAGTGAGCTTTGTACATATGGAAATACTACTTTAGTAACGATTTTGATGAATACTACTAGATTTACTCAATGCCACTTATTTTCCTGCGTCTCTTGCAGCATTGTAACCTCAAGGAACTTTTTAATAGTCTATGATGAAAAAATAATTTAATTATTTTAACCCATCTCTCGATTCAACTCATACAAGTAGGTATAACAATACCCAATTATTTGCTAATTAAATAAAATCTGTATGATAGTCGTGCTTTATTCACATACTAAGAACTATGGAATTTTCGGTCTGCAGCTACTGCACGTGTTAGTAACTCTACATTGTGATCTGTATCCATCAGAATTACCTACAATACAATTTAAATAATTTAGTTTAAATTTTATTCTAGCCAAATAATATTTTTATTTTTTATCTTACTGAAGATCTAGCCTTTAAAACATTATCACTAGTAGTATCGCATTATATTATTATAAGTTATAAAAAAAATGTGTATGTTATATTAGTGTACTAATGAATGTTTTGTGCTCAATCCTCTGGAGCACAGAAAGTTTGATTGATTTAATACAAATTCTAAGTATCAAGGTCATTTATGAACAACCATGATACAGAAATAAATATATCACACTATGGTGTGATGTGCGATTCTAGATAACATTCATGATGATAACAGGTGTCATAATAGCAGCAATGACATTGCATTGGTTACGTATTTAATAGTTATCAGATAGGAAAAGTCTAAATAGAACCATGTAACTAACTTATATAAGATATTAAAAACACTTGATTTTGGATTATAAATGTAAAAAAGAGCTGAAAATAATCTGATCTCTATAAAACTGTTTTCCATGATATTATCAATACTCAATGACATTAGCCGTGTGTGTCCTCTGCTATGTCTCAGGTCTAAAGATAAAACAGGTCATACTGTCATGTTGGGCACGCACCCAAATGTCTGCCTTATGCATGAATGTTAAGTATTAGCCATGCGGCTTAAGTTAAACTAACAGACTTTCTACTTTATGAAAGGGTTTAATTAAATATATTTTGAAAAAATCCTATATATTTTACTTATCATAAAGTTAGTTTAATAGACACAAATTCTAAAGTGACTATCTAATCATAAAAGATTAAGGCAAATTATTTTGAAGAAATGTTTGAACTAACTGTTTTGCTAAACAGTATAATTATTTTAGTAATTAAGTGTATTTCAATATTATATATATTTTCGCTTAAAAATTGCATGTTAACCAACCACATGCAATTTTTAAGCGAAAATATTTTCAATGTATGTAGTATTTGAATTCATTTTGACTGGGTTTTTTTTATTTAAGAAAATTCTGATGTTTTCTGGTCAATATTTTCCAAATCTCTTGTTTACAAATTTTACATACCTAGGTATATCATTTAGATTACATATTATCAAAACAACAAATTTAAAATTACATGATGCCTATAAGATACACAATCTGTATTTTATCATTCTTTTGGAAAATATATGGTTTTTGATTTTATAAAGTTTTAAAGAAAATAAAACATATTTGGTATAATTTTAAGGTTTTGACAGCAAAGGTTATGCAAAATCGCTCTATTAAAAAACTAAACAGTAATTCTCGGCATATTGATTTCTGAGGTTAGGTTGGCTTATTATGTACTCTTATATGGAGAAAGAATATGAGATATTTAAATTATTGTAAAAAAGCATAGGTATTGCAAAATTTTACAAATGGTCCTATTTATTGCCTTCCTTTAATGAAGTACATTTTCTTTTCATGGTAATGATTTTAAAAGTTTTATTATAAATATATTTTTCTATATAAATTATACTTGTTTATGTGTTTCTCTAGATGGAAAGGGTCATATTTAAATAATTAATGAACTTATTTGTGACAGTACACCAGGTATTATCCATAGTGCTCATTTAATTGTTTGTGATGTTAAATCCAGTAAAAGTTTCGTATAAAAAGATCATTAATGAGATAAATTTCATTTGACGAAATTTGTAAAAGAGTTTTATGTGAAGAGATTTAGTTTTTGTGTGATGGTCAATTTGAACTACATTATCAATCATTCGATAAAGTCGCCAATTATCACATTGATTAAGTACGTCCCAAAATCACTGTGATAAAGATCAAGAACATTCTTTATTTATTTATCTTTAAGAAAGTTACTAGAGCGGTTATACTGAATTACATGCACTCGGTAAAGAATCTGAGGCCCCAACCCAAGCACTAATTTTGACAGCTCGGTAATTGTATCGCATCGTCAAAGTTTCCATGAAAAAAACTAAGCAGCGACCCTACCGGACGTAAGAACAAAATCGCTCCTTCCGTACAAAATTTGATGATGACGATAAAAAAGCTGTCAAAATTCGTTCTTGGGCCTCTTTCAAGTTCCGGTACAGAAACGAAAGGTAATAAAGCACGCGCCCGCGCCGATCCGATGAGGAAGGTGCTTAAAGTGACTGTTAATAATTAAGTTATCTTCATGAAAAGCCATTGGACTCCTGGTTATCCGCAACATTCAATACAACATTGTAATAGAAAATAAAATATACAACCATCTTTTCAAATAAGTTCGGAACAACAGAGGGTATGTTATGTTGATAATTGCTGGTTATTAACAACTATTACTCAATACAAATTCCATAGTACACTGATTACCTAGTGTTTAATTATCTGGATGAAACTGCAACGCGCTATGCGTTATGCGTTGCAATGAACGATATTAAACCGGGTATTAAATATAGTTGCAGTTTACTAAGTAGTCATTTTCTATACTAAATCGTTTGTAACTGCAACTTGAAACGTTGCACACAGCACTTGGTTTGAGGAAAATGTTGTATTTGTTAAGCAACCACCATATAACAACTAGCTATAGCGGGTAATTCTACTTAATTCTAGGACGACCTTATTTTACTTTGACCTTACTAAACATGCGCGCCGTGTCCTCACTGGATGGTTTTTACCTTGCTTTGTTATATTTTTCAAGTAAAACTTTAGTCAGTCACGTTTAACATTGTTTACAAAATTATTTGTCATTGTTGAACGTGCCGCATGTATACAAATATAATTATTCCACTTTACTATTAATCCTGATTTACTATTAAACTATTTATAACTCATGATCTATCGTTTATAGTTGCAAGTCCACACGTGATTAAATAATACTATTTATATTTTCGGGTGAGTCTATTTGCGATTAGGTACGAGTATTGTTGCCACGTCAACTCATTTTGAGGTTAATGTTTAATACGCAGATGATCACCTTGGTCCATCTCGTTTCTTGTCGATAAATGGGTAGGTAGGTAAAATATTTATGACGGCAGCACCTATTTTATTAAAATGTACGTGTAATGTATAGATCCTCAATATGATCGAAGTCATGTCAAAATCCATAACTGTCGCTCTATGACCTCACTTTTTGAAGAAATGTTTTCCTGTTTACCTTTCTTACATACCAAAAAATAACTAATATTATGTTTATTATATACATCGACGATAATTAACATGGATTTTAGATCGTTTACTTACCTTAGGCCTTACTTTAGTGGACGCGGAAGAATCCCTAAACTGGGATCCCGCGGTTTCGCACTAAGTAGCTTAGAGTGTATTCGCAGGGTTTTTGAGCGGATATTATGCCGTAAAGCGCCCGTAAGAGTTATAAGGCTTGCAGGAGCCAGGTGTGAGGTCCGTTCGGCGGTGTGCCTCTTAGAGGCGCCGTCGTCTGTAAACAGAGGTTTTGCCTGCGTCACAAAAAAAGGCCTTACGTTAGAAGATACCTGTAATGTCTCTATTGCTTGGACCTACAGAACAGGTTTTGGTTAAGGTTAGGAGTGAGAACGAGCTACATATTAGGTAAACCAGACAAAAGGGAGGTTAGGGCTGCAAAATTATAGTCTATTTAATATTTTTAATTGCAGAAAGCATGCCCAACAGCTTCGATTCTGTTGCGTGGATTGAGCGCTGAACCAACAAACCTGAAAAGCATCCTTCAAGATAAAATCCCCAAGGAACAGGAGAAGATCCGAGAGTTCCGAAAGAAGCATGGCGCTACCAAAGTTGGAGAGGTCACCGTTGACATGGTGAGTGATACTAAGTTGTCTTCTGATGATATAAATGTGAATGTCTAGATGTCTGTTCATTGTAAAAAATACTGAATAACTTTGCATTATAACCGAAAAACAAGTTACATTCAGTCCTACTCAGCTGCTATTAAAATATTCTCGTGATTGAGAGAAAATATCACTTGAATATTTTCGTATCTTGGGCCGGTTCTTTAGTGTCGATGCATTTTGTAATTACCGCTGACGTTAGTCACGTCAGCGGTAATTCAGGTAAGTCTTGGTTAAGCCCCTTAGGTGTACAGGAAAGTTACTTTAAATAAATAATATTTTTTTATACAAATGAAAGCGTAAAGTGCGCTACTTTAATTTTCCGTTTTCCTGTTGAACGCATTACGGACACAATTATCAACAAATGCGAATGAATGAGTAATATACAAATTACAAAAGTTCACACACTAGTGAGTTAGTACCTAATTTTTTCCCGTTTTGATTTCCCTTGTGTTACTTCTGAGTATTATCCTTAACTCGAATCGTCTCTGAAAAGTCTTAAGTTCGTCTCAATAATCTGCCTGCAATATTTTTTTTGTCGTCTAGCCACGTGGTGTTCCTTTTTTATTTATTTTGTCATGAGGAACATAATTGTGTGTTATATTTATTATTGAATAAATTTAACAAACAAACATTCGTACAATATGGATTTATCAAAGGCGTGCTGTCGATTATTTTGCATTGTAACTGTCCTAACATACAGTTTCTCATGCAAATATCATTTAAATTGTCAAAATAAAGATCTAGCGATGTCGTTGCGTGTTTCACGCGGCTGAAACACACGGCGTGACAGAACAGGAACTAAGTTTGTGGCGCGTATCAGAAACATCGCACGCGTCGCGTGACCGTATCGTCAGCAAGGGGCGTAATGTCAAATAAGTACATAATTATGTACATTTAAAATAAAAATCCGTGCGATAAACCGCGTCATATCGCGCGTGACGTGCTGCTGTGGTGGGTTGTGGAGCTTACACCAGGCAACACTGATGCCACGCGACCCCGTGCGCGATATAATTATTATCTTCACTTGCACTCTGTATTTGACTTGCGATTCGTGATCAATATCGTCGTCCATCCCACTTTAACTTGAGTTTTAAAGTACAGCCCCAGCTATTTGGATTTTTTTTTACTTTTTACCTATTACGTACGTACGGTTGATAAAGAACCCGGACGGCAAGCGGAAACTAAGTAATAGGGTTTCGTGGTCACACTGTGTGCGGAACCCTTAAAAAGAAACCTAAATACTTCTTGAAAGTATGTCGTACGTTTTTCACTCACTTGCCAAGCCAAATCGATTTGATTGTGTAATGATGTGGCCGGCCGGCGCCCGTCGGTGGTCATGTGCATGTGATTCGCTGACGCTCTCATAAATTTTCCACACACGACACAACACAATATCCGCAAAGTAAGTAGGTGGACGTCTTCCGTTGCTCCGTGCCGTCGTCACCAATCCAATGCACTTATTTAGCAAGCGACAGTTATTGTTAAAGAATAGAGATGCAAAATAAAAAATAATACCCTGAATCCGCTTAGCACAATGTAGAATCTATATAGACAAGCAAGGTTACGAAACGGCAGCTACACTTACACCACGAACATAGCTCTTACTGATTTGTAATAATGGCGAGTTCCATGTCGAATTGTATCCATTAACGTGGCCTCGACTGTCGTCGAACGCACAGAATCCTATGTTGACGTCATTCATACGCACGCGTGCGGAATTCTTATGGTATCAACAATATTACTAAAATGTGACATGTAGTATGAATACATTATTTATATTTCTATAGACATTTAGGCCTTTCCATTTAAGATATGTTTTTTCTTATATCAATTGGGTAAATTGCCACGCAGATGTAAGATAAGATTGACAAAGGGTAGATAGAGCCAAACAAGCTTATGGAATATAAAATATTTATGCTATTGAATAGCTAACGACTGCACTAGGAGGCGCCAATCAATTTGAACGGTTGTTAAAATTACGTTTTATTTTATATATTGAGATCTCTGAGTGCGGTGGTAAGACTCAGGTTTGATCACAAAGTTTTTCTGCCAACTGCTAAACGATATAGCGACTTGTGTTGGTGATACGGGTATCATTCAGGGAATAATTATGATAATATCATTGCTCTGAGGAATATCCCATGGAAAAGCCATTGCTAACATTTTATTATCATTTTCCTGAATATATTCTCTTAGTATTTCGCAGACCTGACGACGTAGGATAGTAACAGTGACTCGCTCGTCGACTGTTTTAAGGGGCTATCCCACGATCTGTGTTGTCGCGAGCGAGGCCGCGCCGCGCAGGGTTGCCAAACGTATGAGGACTCGTATAACGTTCGAGATTTAGCAGTATTTATAAATGATATAATGGCATATAAATCTACAGATTTTTTTCAAATTTAGAATTTTATTTAAGTAATAAAAAAAATAAAAAGGTAAAATTTGATAACATCAACAATAATCATCACAGATAGATATAAATAAACCTAAGTTTTGCCTTGGACTTCATAACAGAAGTAAGAATCTAACTAGGTGCCTACATATTGTGTGGCAATAGGGATGATGACAAAACTTTTTTCTTAGTCTGTCAGGTAGATTAATGAAAGTATTGGACAAGTATTTTTTCCTTATTCACATAATCAAAAAATTACAGAGATATGTTGATATAAAATATCCCATAACGTCACGTCTTGGTACAATTTTTAAAAGTGACGTTACTAGCCTTCTCTCCCAAACTTTCACGCGCTCTATCCATTTGGTATTAGTTTCCAAAATATAAAACCATTCTTAATTTCCCAAGAAGTCCTAAGGTACTGAAAGGTTAAGGGATGACTGTGTATATAGAATATTGGGCAAAAACCTGGCAATTATTTAACCTGTTAGTTGTACTTAAACTAACTTGCCATTTTAAGGTTTGAAAAAATAATCATAACTTAATAATTTACATATTATAAAGACATGTGATCTTGCTATTTTAGACGCACTTGCAGTTTTATTACAAAAACAATTTTAAAATCTTTGAAGATAGTAAACGCCATTTCAGTTAGTATAGAGTACATAAAGGCTAAATGGTCTGAAATAGTAAATAAACCTCTTCGAACAAACTAAAATGTGATGAGTTTAATAAATGCAGCATATTTTTACCTACATAACTAAATATTGCAAAAAGTGCTAATGCTTTTTCTCCCTCATACAAAGGCTTACAAATGTTGTTGTCTTTTTCTTAGTAACAAATACCGAATAACATTAAAAACAAACAGCGATTTTTATGAAAAAATATTTTTTATAGTACCTACGATTGAATAGTGTGGGTTTTATTTGTTGTTCTTGAGCAATTTGAGCACTCAAAACACACATAGGCAGTTTTATTTTATAAACACAAAATAACAGTAATATTTCTTTTCGGGGTTTACATGTAAGCCGTTTGCATGTCAAGTTGTGACTAAAGCGAATTGTGGTCATGCACCACAATTTAAGCGGATCACTTTTGCGAGGCTAGTGCCGTATCTTCCCTTTTTGTTTTAATCTAAGAATTTCTCATACAGTTCAACACAGTTCGTGAGACAGCGCCTTAATTGTATGTAATTATGCATGACGTCATTTTACTACGCGACTGGAGCCGAGTCCAATGTCGCGTGGCAAGCTGTTCCATGAACATGAATGTTTGTGTTACATGAACTTGAACAATGTCATAATGAAACATGAGGCGTAGCGTAGGCAGGTCAATCAACTGTGTGTATGCATGTCACAATACAACAGATGCGTGAATATATTTTTAGAAAAATAATGTTTTAATTAACAATGAAATACCTGAGCTGAACGGGGAGCAACTAGTGCCCATTTGGTAGCTTTTTCGTGTATTTTGCAAAGCTAATGGATGAATAGAGTGATGGACTGCCATTTGCTATTCTATTTTATCATTATTATTTTCGGTGATCTCTATATCAAACAGTTCTAAGACATTTTTTCTGTTTCGTGGTGTTTCGCATTTGATGCTCTGTCAACCTCACAAGGCATCAAGTTTTTGACTATGAACGTCATATGAACTATTTTACTAATTTAATCGTTATCTAACATATTTTGTCTGGTTTTGATATCTGCTTTACCAGTATGTTCAACTTCAGTTATCTATAGAGCAAAGTCTACCAAAGTAAATAAACTTAAATACTTGAAAAATCTTATTTACATTAGTTCATCTGCAATTGTAATAATAATTAAAAATATTCGATGAATACCGAAAATTACAACGGTGATTAGCTGCTTCATTTTCACGATACTGAGCATGTTTCAAATGAGGGTAGTCAATATATTTTTCATAGGTCGTCAGCCTATACTTTGACACTTTCCTGTTTTGTAGATGTACGGCGGTATGCGTGGCATCAAAGGTCTGGTATGGGAAACTTCAGTGCTGGACCCCGATGAGGGTATCAGATTCAGAGGCCTCTCCATTCCCGAGTGCCAACAGCAACTGCCTAAAGCCAAAGGCGGCGAGGAGCCCCTCCCCGAAGGTCTGTTCTGGTTGCTGGTGACTGGAGACATACCCACCGAAGCTCAAGTAAAAGCTCTGTCCAAGGAATGGGCACAGAGGTATGCACTTAATACTTTTATGACACGAAAATAGCGAAAACTTCGTGACTATTATTACTTTGTTAAAGTAAAACCAAAGATATTTAACACCCTAGATACACCACGTGCGCTCAACATGTGTCCCATTCTTGAACTTCACTCGAGCACTTCTCGGTTCACAGTCACGCGTGGACCGTTGAAAAGTCAAGATGCCGCAGAGCTTCGTAAAAAAATGCGAAAAAAATTGTTATAGTACGTAAAGTGTCTTTTTTTTCGACAAGTACACACTACACAGTTAAAGCAAATTTTGTTCTCATACTTACTATAAACAGTTGAATAGAAAATATTTGTGATATTCAAATGCATGGTCGATTATATAACCATCTCTTTCTTCGCGGTTCGTACCAGCTATATTGGTAGCAGTGCATTCAGAATTGCGCGTAGATCCAAAGAAATAAGGTTTATATTCTACCGCATATCGCAATAAGTCGTAAAATTTTACGAGTTTGCATTTCGAACTATCATAACTTTTTGACGCATGCGCTTTAATTAAGAAATTATACAGTATACATTAAAGGTGACTTTCAATGTTTAAATAATGCCTTGTATTGTTTTTTACAACGCGATCATCCGTGAATCGTCCAATGAACCTATTGGCCAGGTTTCAGCCTCAATTTTGTTCATCATCATCATCAGCCTATTAGTGTCTCCACTGCTGGGGCACAGGCCTTCCCTATGGATGGAATAGGGAGATTAGGCCATGACCCACCACGCGGGCCCAGTGCGGATTGGCGGGTGCTAACGACTGCAGATGCAGCCGGGGCCACCGGCTTAACGTGCCTTCCGAAGCACGGAGGAGCTCGAGATAGTAAATTTTTGGTCACCCATCCAATGACCGACCACTGCGAAAGTTGCTTAACTTCAACGATCGCAGCCGAACGCGCTGACCACTTGCGCCATCGAGCTCCTCCAATGATGATGATGATGATGATGAATTAAAACACTAAATTACAATAATAAAAATACTCGCTTGTAGCTGAAATAGCAAACTTTGTAAAAGTGAAGCCCTCTGTAACACTTTCTCATACCACAATTATTGTAAAACTATACTTAATAATATTCGCTCTTATTAAAGATATAGCAACAAATGGTGCACTTTTCTTTATTGATTGTATGTGCGATGTGATACTTTTCATTACTCAATTTGTGTAAGACCAATCTATAAAGTCGCGGAGCGATAATTTACGGATGTCGAGGTTTTAAATAACAGATATTTATCTGGAATTTTCCAATATAAGGCTAGATTTGTTTTTTTTTTATTTACATGAAATGCACGTATGAATGCACGCCGTAAAAAATATACGTATATGTTGGGAACAGTTATAGCCCCGAATGAATACTACAGCGACGATAGGCATGATGCGTCTTGGCGATATGCCAGAACTTTGGAGAAAATTATTCGTCCACACAACTTCCTTGTATATGTATGTAAGGTAGTTTTATCAACAACTAACTATATCAACGTATGAAACGTATTCAGCAATGCATTGAGAGCAACAATATTAAGGACGTACTAAATGATTTTTTATATTTTTTTATACTTGGATGTTTTTGGTAAGGTAAACGTTTACGACATTTTGCAAACAACCGGTTTTTTTATTACTTAATTTATGGATCCTTATCAATAACGGTCATCTGTTTGAACACCCCAGTAAACTGCTAACTACATGATAGATAATAAAGAGCATATATACATATAAAATACCTTTTCAAATCTACGGTGATGTAACAATGTCGGTTAAAGCCAGATTGATGGCCTGCGCAGATGAGGGATTTTTACCGCGGAGGAAAAAGTCCCTGTATCCTGAAAAAAATGTTCTTCGAGGACTTCTCACGGACTCAACGCACGGGGTGTGTGCACATTAAATTTTGTTTCCCGAAAATTCAGAGAAGCGCACGATTTGGATGAAATAATATTACATTGTGTTGTAATTAACATGAAGTTTATGAATAGATAATACTGGGTCCATCCCTGGCGCGCAACTGGGACTAAAGTTCACTGTGTGCGTTGCTGCCAACGATATTGTTGGTTGCTGCGCCTAGATACATGAGTTCTATTTTTTCGGGGACACCCCCGTACTTTTATCCAATCCGGTGTCTCGGCGTCCTCGGTCATTCGGGGGACTTTTTGTACGCGTTACTTTTAATCCCTCGTGTGCGCTACATGAACAGTTGTAAGCGATTTCTTTTCGATGACAAAATAGTCCGCGGACAAAAGTTTCTCACCTGCGCAGGTCTTGAATATAATGATAGCCAGAGGCAGTAAAGCTTTTAAAGGATGCTAAAATGCTTAAGTTAATTAGACTTTGAAGTAATCTACAACCAGTCCCCTGATTGACCGATTTCAACTCATATTTAAAAAAAAAAGAACCTTAGTGTTTTGTGGTCACAAATAATCCCAATTTTATTAGTCGAATTTGGGCTTTGTGTCGACTATGCTGAGGTTTTCAATATCAATTAGAGTTACTGATTTATATGTGTTTTATACAATTACACTATACATTTTAATGTGTTTTTAAGGTAGAGTTAAGTCATTGTTTGTGACGCGTTTTAAAGTTGAACACCTTTCGAAATCGTGGGCTTACATATAAATAAGTTGATAGTTATTTTTTTAAAGAATGATGAGCGGCATATGTAATCAAATTAAATGTTTGCAAATGAGGTGTTGTCCTTTTCTAGTGCTGTCGTATAGGAATTGACAACATCAACTTATAAGCTTAAATAGAAATCTTATTTAAAAAACAAGTATTCATTTTGAAATTTCTTACACCATTCTTTACATCTATTTTTTTGTAATTGGTGTTAAAACTTTATTAGGCGTTTTAAAGTACTTGTGATTTGCTTCTTAATACTTTAGTATTTACTCAATGAGATTGGCTGACTTTATCTTATATTTTTCCTTACAGAGCTGAACTGCCCGCGCACGTCGTGACTATGTTGAACAACATGCCCAGCAAGTTGCATCCAATGTCGCAGTTCTCTGCTGCGGTCACTGCCCTCAACAGCGAGTCCCAATTCGCCAAGGCCTACTCTGATGGTGTACACAAGTCCAAATACTGGGAGGTTAGAATTCCCTTTAATTGCATAGTCTGTTGCTTAGATTATAGAAGAAAAGGTTTAGTTCTAGGATCTGAGGTCTGTTGTTTCAACCAAAATGGGCAGTATAAAAGGTAAACAGATTATTTATCTTCAAAATTTTTATTAAGTCGCTCCAATTGTTTTCTAAGCAATCGAATTTGTTTACCTTGACGCATGACTCCTTTTTGGAACATACCAATGTTGTTTGGCTTCTTCAAGAATCGGATTGAAATATAAATTAGGTTTATTTTTATGCAAACATGCGATTGCGGGATATTGCCGTAGCAAGCGACTAATAATACGTTACATACTGTCCGCAGACACAGGTTACTAGAAATTGATAAATGTGAACTCAATATGTGGATTATCAAAAGTAGAGAATCTTATACTTATTATAGTGATATAAATCTCAAAGTCAGTTACCAAAATTCGACCGTTTTGGGCGAGTTGAGCCTGTGGCTGTATATCTATGCTTATAGTGTAGTAAAGTAAGCGCAAGACGCGGTACAGTAAACAATATGTATGTCTGTACGAGATGAAATTGTGTCTGTAAATGTATGTCGTGGCAAAGTGTGGCCTAGGGTGAGACGTCGAAATGAAACACACACTATGCGTTCTTAATGCTATTTATTAGAAGTGAATGCAATATATATTATACTAGCTGTGCCCCGCGGTGTTACCCGCGGTTTATTAGGAATATTTTCCCGCAGTAAAACGTAGCCTATGTGTTAATCCAGGGGACACCCTGGATTGATTTTTTAACATCACTCCAGCCGTTTAGACGTGAAGAAGTAAAAAACATACACACACACACACTCATAAACTTTCCTCTTTATAATATTAGTGTGATATAAGGGTTGAGGTGATGCACACACTACAGAATGATGATGCTTTGTAATACACGATCGACTATTTACACTTAACTTTGCACGTATCCGTAGTACGTCTACGAGGATTCCATGAACCTGATCGCTAAGCTGCCCGTGATCGCGGCCACCATATACCGCAACACTTACCGCGACGGGAAGGGTATCGGCGCCATCGACGACAACCGTGATTGGTCCGCCAACTACTGCACCATGCTCGGATTTGACGACGCGCAGTTCACCGAGCTGATGCGTCTATACCTCACCATCCACAGGTCAGGATTCTGTCCTTTATGTTCTATTATAGGTACGTTATATAAAACTACTATCGATGACAACTGCGATTAGTCCGCCAACTACTGCACCATGCTCGGGTTCGACGACGCGCAGTTCACCGAACTGATACGTCCATACCTCACCATTCACACAGTGGTTACTTCTGGCTACTTGCATACAAAATTTGACGATGACGATATGATGACAGAGCTGTGATAATTCGTGCTTGGGTCCATGATTAAAAGGGGTGTTGTGTACGGAAAATACAATAGATTAACCATATTCAACAGACACATTTAATTTTATTCATTCAGCTAATATAAAGGGTGTAGAGAACAAGGGACGCTGATCAAATGGGGTGGGGTGTTGATATCGAAATACAACGGATTTACAATATAAATACATATCTCAATTAATTAACAATAGAATTTTGAGATAATGATAAAGTACTAAAGATAAAGTAAGATGATTTTATGTTAAAAAATTAAGTTAGGAGTGTGAAACTAGATGTTATAACTTCGAAACATAAGAAATAAAAAATTGCATTCTTATTTTTTTGTTTTCTTTAAGTACCAATATATTATACAAGTAAATTTTGTAACGTTGTAGAGGTTAATATCTGGAACTACTGAACCGATTTAGAAAATTCTTTTACTAATAGAAGTCACGTTATTGGTGAGCGAGTGTCATAGAACAAAAACTATAGTCTAAAGCGAAGCGAGGGCGGGTCATTAGTATAATATAAACATACCTTTTCCAATCTTAATGTTTTGAACTATTTGGAACAAAAATATATAACATTTATTTAGTTCACAATGGTTTGTTCCTACAATATTTGACTAACAAAACTTTAATAGATAAACCAATTTGTGTTTTTGTTGTTCCATTTAATGTTAGTAATATATAATCGCCATGCTCGATATGCACGCTTATTCATCCTTTTATGTTAACATTATTGCGTCTGTTGACTGCGAATAAGTATTTGTCAGTATTGCCCCAAACGCCATGCGAATATTTACTAACGGTATGTTTTAATAATAATCAACCACCAGTAAAAGGTATGGCTAATCTGGTTCCGTTTCATAGCAACAGTTGTTATTATAATCTAAATATTAAAATATCTTGGCAACAAAGCTCTATTGGGCCTATCTCTTACTGGAGTTGTATTATTTAAACTTTATAACTAGAATTAATTACTGTGATGCATAAAAAATATTTAAATAACAGTGTAGAGATTCTATTAACGTGGTGTCAATAATACTGGGATAAAAGGCCTTTTTGGGAAGATTGAATTATTTAACTGCAGATAGCCAAGCAGTGTGAAAGTAAACAACTTTCTTCTTCTTCTTCAGGAACTGAAGACCCGACAATTCAACACTGTTTTATAAATTTCTACAAAAACTAAAGATAATATTCCTAAAATATATCATTTTAAATTGCTCTTATATTGCTTGAAATCAAAGTAATATTGTATGTACATTATTGAAAAAGGCCTATGAACTGTTATCTTAGGTACACTAAAACATCCATCGCATGCTTGTGTACAGAATGTAAATTTATTAAGGTAATTGCTATGCGAATGTAGTCAAATTGTTAAATAACACATTCTTTAGTTATTATATACATAATAATTTATCATGTATGCCCTCTAACATTTTTCTTGTATTTTTTTTCATGCTATTTAAAAATGATATTTATCTCTTTGTTATCGGGTAAGCTGCATGAATTGAAGTTGTGATGTTACATAAACTACGAGAGATAAGTCACGACATTCTATAATGTTGTATGTTGCAATCTGGTATTTATCTCGGATTCGTGATAATGTTGACACCCTTTATTATCATGAAGCATGGCCTCAATTCGTTTAATTATTTAGACAATAACATATAACACGGATACCCCGATAATGACCGAAATAATAAAAATATATGGAGTTATAAAAAAAGTCTATCTCTAAAACACATTGTATTGACATATTATATTCTATATTTATATCTTTCGCAACATCAGCATCAATAGACAATAACATATAACACGGATACCCCGATAATGACCGAAATAATAAAAATATATGGAGTTATAAAAAAAGTCTATCTCTAAAACACATTGTATTGACATATTATATTCTATATTTATATCTTTCGCAACATCAGCATCAATAGATGCTCGATTGCGTACTTAGGCAAGCAAATGTGCATAAACTTTAGCGCTTATCAACAGACTGGTCTTATTGTATATACTAACAATGGTATATAAATTCAGGTTACCAAGCGAAGTAGTAATATGTTTTTAAACCACTGAATTTGCTTTTAAACCACCACTCACAAGATATTACTGTAAAGATACCTCTCTGTAAATAACAATCAAATCGGTCTTAAAATAATCACCATGAAATAAACAAAATACAACTTTAAATAAATGGGAGTGTGGTTGAAATAGTTTGCTATCTTTCACGTGCTTGTGGAGCTTGGAACTTAGAGCGATTGCTTAGTGCCGTCCTTTTAACTTATCTAAGTTGTATTTTAGATTTAAGGCTTCATATCTCCAATTTTAGTTATATTTATTATTAAATTATAATTGATTGAATATTTGATTAAAGTCCCATGTTCATTGATTTTGTTAAGTGCGGCCATTATTAAGTGTATAATCAATGCTAGAAATCTTTTAGATTTACTCGATCTATAAATTCGTGTTTGTTTACAGTGACCACGAGGGCGGTAACGTTTCTGCCCACACTACGCACTTGGTCGGATCTGCGCTAAGCGACCCCTACTTGTCGTTCGCGGCCGGCCTTAATGGCCTCGCTGGACCTCTTCACGGATTGGCTAACCAAGAGGTTCGTAAATAGATATATTACTCATTTAAATCTCCAATTAGTCTGAATAAGGACCGGACGACCAGGCGCGGCGAGGGCTTTCACCCTTATTTTGTCAAAGTTCTTCCCATTCGCACGAAGCGATTTGCTTCCGCTTTCATTATGCGAACGGCTAGGGAGTGGAACTCCATACCGAGGTCTGTTTTCCCGGACCAATATAATCTGGATATTTTCAAGGCCAGAGTGAACAGGCACCTTCTAGGCAGGCGTGTACCATTCTAGGCCTCATCATCGCTTACCATCAGGCGAGGTTGTGGTCAAACGCCTTGACTATTAAACATTAAAAAAAAACTTTCCAAATCACAACATGGATAAAGCTTGCGAGTCTACGAGTTTGAGGCAAAGGCGAATTGATTGACATGATATGGTTTCATAAATACTCAAGTGCAATGAAAACGGGTCGGTTAAATATCCTTATAATTTTTGTATTCTGTTATTTTAAATTGTAGTATGATTTTTTGAATACTTATTCTAAATTCAATTTTCCAAGTCCTATCAGTAAAATTATAAGAAAATATTCATTGAAACCTTCGATCACAGAAAGACTAGATACAGCAAGTAGGTTCGAATCGCGTTCCATGAAAACTCCGCTCAATTTAAAAACTCCACTCATCGCCCGCTCAGTCTGTCGTTGGCAGCTACGCGACCGCCCGTCAATTTCGCAGTGTTTCTCGTCACTAATATTGCAAAAATGCCGACTTGCACGATCAAAACATGTAAAAGTGATACAAGAAAGCACACTAAAACTACTGGAATTACATTTCATGAGTGAGTATGCTTTTAAATACAATTTTTGATAAGAAAAAAACAAAAATTACTCTCTCATACATTTCATCTGGTTGTGTAAAGTGGAGACGGCTTCTTTAAAAAATAAACTATTTTCTTATGTTTGAATGGTAAAGATTTAATACGTAAGAAAGGATATTGAGAGGCCTGTTGATTTAGTGGTTAATAAACGGGATTCGAACCCGCGACCTATGGAACAGAACCATAGGTCGCGGGGTCGAAACCCGTAAAGGGAAAATGTTTGTGTGATGAATACGGACATTTGCACCAGAGTCATAGATGTTTATATGACATTATGTATTAATATCCGTTACCTAGCTCTCATAGTACAAACTCTGCTTAGTTTGAGGTGTGAGTGTATCAGATAAAAAAAACGTGTATCTAACAAACTTGTTATGATCATTTTCTTTTAATTTTTAATCTCGTTATTAATTTAATTTTATCTAGATTTCCACAATCGGCAGAGAGGCGAGAAAATTGGATTAATGCCATACTCTTTACAAGGGATCCCAATTGGAGACCTTCAAAACGTGCCTCTATTTGCTCCTTACATTTTCATGAATCGGATTTTTATACCACTAACAAAGGCCTACGGAGATTAAAGAAAACAGCTTTACCTAAATATAAACTAGTGGTAAGTACCTATATCACTTTTACATATTATAAATACAGAGGTGACTCGGTCTCTCTGTGTTCCTTTTCACGCCTAAAGATAAATACCTATAAAGTTTGTTTAACGAAGTTTCAAATGAGTTAATGTTATATGATAGATAAGTTATAATTATATGATACACTAACAAGGTGTTAAATAAATTCAAATAAATGATAGATATGCTAAGTTAAGTTATAAACGTGTATGATCCTGGAAAAAAGCTTAAAACTAGGTGTTAAAAGAAATTCAAATAAAAGTGTAAATGAACGGAGTCGAGTCGCCCATATCGGACAGTTTTCGTTTTGTTTACCCGACGCCGTCTTGCAGCCCGTGTTCGAGTAAAAACAATGTAATTATTACATCGGGTGGCCGAATTCCAGTAACGTCTTTCGTGCACCCGAATACGGGCTAACGACCAATTAAGTTGTTTGTGTTAATTATTTCAATATTTTTTTGCAGAATCATTCCAGCCAGCCACAAGATCTACAACATATCGACACATTTGAAATAGACAAACCAAGTACTTCATCTCAAAGATACTGTTCATCCGAGTCTCAAACATTCAAGTCTATTGAAATTCTCAAAGCACCGAGTGACTATTTATTGCGTGAACCGTTACAAGATTTAACTAATTCAACGTCATTTACATCACATAATCTTTTGAATACAACATTCACTGAACTTAAAAATGTAGTTATTAACAAAGAACCAGCTAGAACAACTGAAGAGTTTGCTTTTCAACCAAATTGTGAACATCAGGAACCTAACAATACATTTATGCAGAGCTGTTTGCAAGAAAATATTAATTCTCCAATTTCATCTTATTCAGATATAAATTCATATTTAGAATCTCCAAAAACGTATGCCCTTAAAACAAAATTAAGAAAAAAAACTATGCTCGCTGACCTTCGATTAAAAAAATTGAAAAAAGTGCAGAGAATAAATAGAAGATTGATTAAACAGAACTGCTCTTTGAAGAAAATAATAAAAGATCTTAAAGAAAAAAAATATATTACTAGTGACGATGAACAAAAACTTTCTAATAATAATATAATGGCAGCTGAGATATTTAATAGGATGCATTTAAAAAAAAAGAAATGTAAGAGAACAACATTGAAATATCCTGCATTCATAAGAAAATTTGCCCTCACCCTAGACTTTCTTTCACCAGCTGGATACAAGTACGTTAGAAGGGTATTTGACTCGTGTTTACCACATCCGTCGACGCTTAATAAGTGGTATCAAAGCATAGATGGGAAACCAGGTTTCTCGGAGGAGGCATTTCGGGCATTACAAGTTAAAGTGGTTGCAACTACTGACAGACAATTAAGATTTTGCTTGATAGTGGATGAAATGGCCATTAGGCAAAAAAAGATTTTCAACGGGAAATTCATGGAAGGATTAGTTTCATTCGGAGAAAATACAGAGGAAATAGCAACTCAAGCATACTGTGTCATTTTAGTGCCAATAAACGATTCTTTTAAATTACCTTTGGGGTATTTTTTAGTAAATGGCTTTTCAGGCGAACAAAGAGCCAATATTATCAAAAGAACGTTAGAAAAATGTCACGAAGTTGGAGCCATAGTAAAAACGCTTACTTTTGATGGATGCGCCTCAAATTTTGCAGCTGCCAACGAATTGGGCTGTAAACTAGATGACACTCATAATTTAAAAACGCACTTTCCACATCCAAGTGACAATAGCACAAACGTTTACTTGATGCTTGATCCATGTCATATGGTCAAGTTGGTTAGAAATACATTGGAGTCAAAAAAGGAATTTATAGATTCAAATGGAAAAATTATACAATGGCAATATCTCGTTGAGTTACAAAAGTTGCAGGATAACTTAGGCATGCATTTTGCAAACAAGGTCACTGAACAACACATAAAATTTCGTAACCAAATCATGAAAGTTAAACTCGCTACCCAACTTTTTAGCAGAAGCGTTGCAAGTACTTTGGATTTGTGTCAAAATGAACTTAAATTATCTACGTTCAATGATGCTTCAGCAACTACTAAAATGGTGCAAATAATGAATGACCTATTCGACGTTTTAAATTCTAGATCAATCAAAAATAACGGTTACAAACAGCCAATTTGTGCAAAAAACAAAGAACAACATTTTAGACTACTGAACGAAGCCGAACAATATTTAAAAGCATTAAAGATAGAAGTGCCAATAACACATGTAAAGACGTATAAAAAAAAGAAAATAAGTACAACTACCATTTATCAAAAACCGATCACTGAAACTAGAAATAAAACAGGATTTATTGGGTTAATTATTTGTATTAACAGTTTAAGAAATTTATATGAAGAACTGATTGAGAAGGCTGAAGTGATACAGTATCTTCCATCATATAAGTACTCACAGGACCACGTAGAATTATTTTTCAGTAATATTCGAAGTCATGGGGGGCACAACAATAACCCTGATGCCCGTCAACTACGCGGTGCTTTCAGAAAACTGCTTAACCACTTCGAACTGAAATCAAATTTCACTGGAAACTGCATCCCTCTGGAAAATTATCCAATTTTAAATTGTTCATCAGCTGTATCGACAATCAATCGTACTGTAACTGGCTATCGATTTGAAGAAGATGAAGAAACAGAGGGTGCGTTTGAGAAGGATACGCAGGAAGGAAAAAATTGTGACATATTTAATGAAATGTTGGATGCTTCAGTGCCACCGGAAAGTATTGAGCAAATAGTGGGGTACATATCAGGTTTTGTATCTAAAAAAATTAACCGAAAAATTAAATGTCGATCATGCTCTGACAGTCTTTTTACGCCAAGTGGGTTATATTTTCATAAGCTGATTGATAAGAAAAACTTTGGTGGACTGATTTATCCGTCTGTCGATGTTTATAAAGTTTGCATCAACAGTGAAATGGTTCTTAGAAAAATATTCAAGGAACGAGTCAAAGCTTCTGACAGAAACTATTACGCTCGTATTTGCTTGCAGTGTTTCAAAAGTTGCATGTATGCATATAAAGAAATTTTCCAGTGCCTTGAAGGGCACTCGTTGGAGCAACCGGCCACTTATAATCATCGGATATTTTTGGTAAGAAGTGTGATTGAAGAGTATGTTAGTCTGCGTCTTTATTATAATTCAAAAAAGGAGTCGTACATCAAAACTAAGAGACAAGTTTTTAATAAACTGACACTTTTTAAAGGTACATGAAATTTTGCCAATACATTTAAAATTATAAATAGAGAATTTTTATATAATAAACCTGCAATTTATGATAATTTCAATTGTCTATGTTTTAACCTTATCCTTACTGAAAAGTTCAACTTACTTAACAACTTACTTACCAACTTATTTCGATGATAGAAGATATACTTTGATCTTCCTGTCTAATTCATTTATTTCATAGAGCAACACGGAAGGGAGTAGCCATAGCGACATAATACTATAATTTTCATTCCCGCACTCAAATTATCTGTATTCTGTATGGTTGCAACCTCTTTTAATATGCAATAAAAAACAGGTTTTACTTTCTATCGACAGCTGTGCCCTAAGCACGAACTTTGACAGATCCGTAAACGTATCGCCACCGTCAAAGTTTCGATGGAAACTAAGCAGCGCCCCTACCGAACGTAAGAACAAACTGGCTCTTTCCATAGAAATTTTGACGATTTCGATAGGGTTACGCATCTGTCAAAAGTTCGTGCTTAGGGCACGGATAGGGAGCGATACTGAATACTTTGAAACCCCAAAACACTACTTTTTAACTTAATAATTTTCAATGCTTTTTTTCACATTCTATCATATAATACTATTATTATTGTAATTTTATTGCATTTTTAATATACATCTGATATTTAATTATACTACAATAATAAAAAAATAATAAAAGCCGCTATGAATATGAATCCATAGTTTTGAGCCTCGGCACGCACACATAACATATCGAATACGCGCGCCCACATTCGCCTATTTTGGAGCACGTAAATGTGTGCGTGAAACGAAAGGTCAAGCAATACGAGATCACTGTGCGCGAAAAAAGGATAGCAGTACATTGCTAGCGATCTCTTGAAGCTGAACGGTAATATATCACGCGATACACACACTACTAATGTCGCGCCGACGCATTTAGTAATAGTTGAAGTATGAAGTACTGTATCTAGTCTTTCTGTGATCGAAGATTGAAACCAACTAGAATAACAAATAAATGTATTTTCGGAAAAAGGGGAAAATCGATTTATTAATAAATAATCTAATAAAATTTTATTGCAATATAGAAAACACAAGTTGTCAAGTACTATTGTCATAAAACTTTAATTTATTTAGTTTTTTTTAGATAAATTTGCTTTCCAACACATTTTTTCCAATTTTACTCTTACTAGGTGCTTGTATGGTTGGAGAAGTTGCGTAAACAAGTGGGCGACAACTTCACAGAAGAAGGACTGAAGGAGTTCATCTGGAAGACACTGAAGTCCGGACAAGTCGTGCCCGGTTACGGACACGCTGTACTCAGGAAGACTGACCCTCGGTGAGAATTAGTCAAACAGAATCAAAAATATATACATTAACATCCTTTATACTAATAAATGCCTTATGTCTTATGCTTCTTATAGGTTTTGAGATGTAGGGACGTCCTTAAGGGCTAATTTCATCAGTTAATGATAGTTTCTGATAGAATTATCTGCCATTTAACATTATCTTATAGTTAAATGTTACCAATACCAAGAACAATATCGTAATGTTTTTCAAGACCTATGAAACCAGAATTTGTAATTATCTGGGATATAAGTGCCAAATGACTTTTAAGGGACTCTGTCAGCAAGTGCTAAAAGAGGCTCTAACTTAACCTTTAATATTTAATTTAGTTTTACACCTTATACAAGGTACATGGTAGCAATCCCACTTATCATTTATTACAATACTATGTATATGCTATTATGAAAGGTTAAAAAACATTTTTTTTTCTCGTTGAAAAGGTACACATGTCAGCGAGAGTTTGCTCTCAAGCACCTGCCCAACGACCCGTTGTTCAAGCTGGTAGCGGCTGTGTACAAGGTGGTGCCCCCAATCCTCACTGAGCTTGGCAAGGTCAAGAACCCCTGGCCCAACGTAGACTCCCACTCCGGTGTGCTCTTACAGGTAAGCGGGCATGAGATATTTATGTATTTAATAAAGTACTATGATAATACAATTTATTAAGTAGGGTGAATATTTTGTTACGCATTTTTTTCTTTTCAGGATATTAAATGATAACAAGGACAGGCTTAGTTTGCATGTCTTTAAAAACTTTTGTCATTTAATATTTTGCAAATCAATAGGCAACATTCAATTAGGTTTTATATATTTAAGTTTCTATAGATAGTATTCCATTTCTTATTTATTATGAATTATCATCATCATCTGGTGATGATGATGATATAAATATATCAATAGGCTGGTGCCTATTAATGTCCCCACTGCTGGGGCAAACCCATTCCCCATGGATAGAATAGGGAGATTGGGGCGTGACCTACTACGCGGGCCCAGTGCGGATTGGTGGGTGTTAACGACTGCAGATGCAGCCGGGACCAACGGCTTATCGTGCCTTCCGAAGAACGGAGGAACTCGAGATAGTAAGTTTTTGGGTATCCATTCAATGACCGACCATTGGTGAAAAATGCTATATTATACGATAGGAGCCGAACTCGCTATCCACCTGCTCTATCGAGCTCTTATTTATATAAGTACAAAGGCTATTTTGACAGTCTGTCCTTTTCATTCTGTATAGAGAATGACAAGGATACACTGTTGTCAAATTTAAGTTTAGGTTTAGAGAATCATGCCAGAATCGACACCATTGTATCGGTTGACGTTTTAATGACAGTCATGTACATGTAACACACTATATGCCATAATGTCAAAAAAAACAAATACGCGGCAACTTAAAAATTGAATTTTTAATGTAGGTATTTCTTACTGAATTAAAAATATCCACTGTTATAGACTCCATAAACATTAGTAAATAACGCGAGATCGTTTTCAAAAATTTGTCAAATAACCTAGCATTCTATAGTGTAACACACACATTTTATTTTCAGTATTACGGCCTGAAGGAAATGAACTACTACACTGTAATGTTCGGAGTGTCCCGCGCGCTGGGTGTTCTCGCTCAGCTGATCTGGTCGCGCGCGCTCGGTCTCCCCATCGAACGGCCCAAGTCCCTCAGCACTGATATGCTCATCAAACAGCTCGGCAAGTAAGCCCTGACCAAAATAGCGACTACAAATCAATCGGGACTTCGGATAGGACCATAGAGGTATAAGAATAAAGTAGGGGAGATATAGACCCTACTATGAGATGAGACCGCTAGCTTTCTCTCTAATCGCGCATGCGCATTGGCAACCGTAAGCATCTTACTATATCGACGTGATGCCATTGAATGCCATGCGTCACAAGAGAGAGATAGCTAGCGGTCTCTCATCTTCTTTCTCTTTCTACTAGACGGACACTTTTAGAGCCGCCTTCCCCACACTATTCTTATACCTCTATGGATAGGACACGTTCCATTCTAGTAGTTCCCCTAAATTAATCAGTTTGTTTCACACACAACGCTAATAGTCAATTACTTACTGTAAGAATTACCGTGTTTGTAAGCGATGTACCTACGTACTACACTTTTTCTATTGTATTTTTTTTGTTGTTATATGATGTTAAGCTTAAGCGATGCATTTTGTGATTACATTGTTTTTATGATAGGTGAATTTGGCACAGTTTACTCTGTTGTAAACTTTTTGTTTCTTAAACACCTTTACTTATTCATTAACTTCGCAAATGGTAAGCGAATCAGTTTAGTTAAAACATTTTAATAGGTCTAATGAAGGGAGCAAAGCATACTTTTTAAAAGGTTTTACAACGAAATTAAAGCCAAACTCTTATGAAAGGGAAAAAAAATGTGGTATTATTACTAAAGTTGCCAAAAATGCCTTTTTTCTATTTTTTCAAAATATAATAAAGGAGTGTATGGTTGTTGCTGTTTGAGCTTTGTTATCTTTCCCTAATATATTTGAATTTAATTTGTTACCGGGCTAACTTGTGCTATGCAAAAATAACAATATCTTAGAAAATTCAACTTTTCCGATGAGGCTGTCATTTTGGTGATTTTATTTATTGGTTGTTAATTCAATTCTAATCAAATATTTGTACTTATTTCTGTGATGAAAATATATAATATTTCTTTGCTTTTCTTAACTTCTTTATTGTGATTACTAGATGTATCATGACTAAGAGTGTGGTGTGATTCAACTGCAATCCTCGTACAGTAGAAGTAAATAAGTAACAGTAAACTATTGTGGATATAACTGGGTCATGCTAGGTCTTTACGATGGCGAACAGTATGCTGTGCATACTGCTCTCCTCGGGATACTGGTAGATGAAATTAGGACCATAATATATTGTTAGTTGACTCAGTATTTTATTCTTTATTTATTGTACTTAGATCATATGTAGAAGTAGATGACCATAATTGTAATTTAGATTCTGAGAAACACGTGGCCTAGCATCATATTAGTTAAGGTTTCATTCTTGAAATAAATTATTATCATACTTCGCTATACTTTCCCCGTTTTGTAATAATTTAACTGATTTGTAGCTATACTTTATAGTAGTGTCGAGTTACCAAAGTATTTACATTTATGTATATAAGGGTGAATATAGTGGATTTGTTAACAGCGTGGTGTTGAGGACACATTAAACAAACTTTCATTTGTAACTGTATATATATATATATTTCTTAGCATTTGTCAACATTTGTGGGCAAAATTATTTATTATCATCCATCAAGTTTTATTTATTCAAGCATGTAGTAATAATATAATGGTTATAATGTATGGTGTATAATTTATTGAAATGTATGACGACACGTCTAAATAACTTGCAAAATCGCAATTCAATAATTTGACAATACTAAAATAAATCGGAATGGTGTAGTGTAATCTTTTTTTAATTATTTTTCCCTTATCATTTCCTTTATCCTGGCTGTAGATTAATGGAGAACTTTCAAAATAGTTTTTTTTATTAATCATAAAAACTCGATAGAGTAAGCGCAAGTGTAGAAAGATGGAAGAAATTACCGTTGTGTCCTTGGAGGCTTAAATCGTTTACGGTGCCGTCATAATGGATGGGGTAAGTAAACCAATTCTAGACGAGACAAGGCTTCGATTGTAAAGTGAATAAATTTTAAATCGATAAGGTGCTGTCATCGACAAGATTTTATCTATCATTTGACTTCGACTGTACTATACGGACCGCAGAGCCTAAAATAAGCGAGTATACAAAGTTTGCATAGAAACTCGCTTTATCTTATCAAACCAATTTTATCTTCGAGGAGAATACAGCGGCCCAATTTAATTTAGTACCGAATGTTGTATAACGTACAAAATAGTAGATTGTATGACAAGGGAGCAAAGTAGTATTTTTATGGCGAGGGCGATACTAAAGCCACCTGTAACAAAACAGAATGGAAATCAGACAAGTAGGTACAATAATACGTACACGTTTTAAAACACTCTGTTTATAGATTAAAATGGAAAAATAAAAGATTCATACTTTTGTTGCGAGAAATTCCTTATCAGGCGCGTCATTCAAAAAAGTCTACGTTTTGGTGAGAAAATACTTATGATATCTTTGGTTTGCGGATAGTCTGTTCAGATAAGCTAGTAATTTTGAGTAGCTATCAATTTTAACATTTTTATTGGTATTTACTGTAGATTTAAGCATTGAGTATACAGGGTGAAATTGAATGTTTCTATGAAACTTCGTGAGATTGTTGGGTTACGTGTATAGAGTATGCCTGATTTTTTTCGGATTTTTTAAAATAAAATTTTTCGTTTTTTAATTTTTTATTTGGTTATTTTTTTGTCATTTCTTCCTTATGAGTAATTATTCATTTTAAACACGTCTACATAGAAGTTATAAAGCAACTTAAAATAAGCACTACTAAAAAAACGGAAACTTAATGAATGCCTTCATTATGCCTCCAGTCGAGATCAGCGCCGGTCGGGGCGACGACCGGCGCGGCGGCCGCCTGTGTAGGTACCTACTACACGCACAGATGACTCGGCGCTTACCTACTCTCCGCTTTGATCCACACTATTTAAAAACATTACAACAAAATAGTCTTAGATGCTATATTATAATTATTTATTCACTGATACACAATACCTTTGAATATTATTTCTTAAAGCACAGGTAATTAATCAATAAAATAAATCTTCTGTTAGAGCAATTAAAAATCCTATAAAGTTAGTATGACTGTCACGATTTTAAATCGGTAAAGCCTGTCTGTTAGTGTAAGAACTTCTTTTTTATTGTTAATGTTAGTTGCCTCGTTTAATTAAAACTTAAGCACAAACGGCTTATTTAAAATTGGGAAAAATTATACAGAGCAAATCGGTATAACTTACGAGCTTAGTGAACGTCATGAAATTCCCATCACATTTAAGTACAGCCACAGTCACACACACACACACACACACATAATAATATGTTGTTTTGCGGCAAGCACGGGCGGGCGGCGCGCCGCACGCTGGCAACTAGCGCCGGTTGCGGCGTCTTTGATGATGTGAATTCCGCCCACCTCCCCTCTTCCCCGCACGCGGTGGTTTGCTTTGATTGCATGCAAAACGCAGTCGCAAGTATATCAATCGCGCGTGGGCGTGCGCATCTTTTGACTTAGTGACATACACTGTGATAATTTCATTATGCCTCGGTATACGAACCAAGAATATTTAGAGATGGTGTACTGCTATCGCGAGTGTGACGAAGTAGGTTTGGTATACGAATGAGTCCCCAAACCATAGAAGTTGCATTTTGTGCAGTGAGTAGTGACAGGGACACTTTAAAAAAGGTGAAAAGACACGTCCGCAAACATGCCTACCTTTGTTTGCAGCAAAATTGTGGTTTAGAGCAACAATTTTGCAGATAATAATTTAAGTCTCTTTTTATTGCTAGTGTAAATACTTTTTGATTAGAAACAACTAATTGTGTACTACCAGTGTGATTGATTTGATAAAAAGTTCTAGTGAAAAAAATGAATATGTTCCTCGTTCCTCGTACCTACCTACATCGCCGGTCTCATAAGTACTTTTGAATACCTGGTTTTTTAGAAGTGCTTATTTATTAGTTGTTTTTCACTGGATATGTAAGTTTGTTTGTTTAAAATGAATAACTACTCAAATGGAGGAAAGGACATAAAAAAACACAAATTATAAATAAATACATGAAAAAAATATACTTCAAAAAAATCCGAAACAAAAACAGGCATACTCTATACACATAACCCAACAATCTCATGAAGTTTCATAGAAACATTCAATTTCACCCTATATACTCCAAAGGGTAGAAGGTTGCTTAGTTCTGGCCAATTCTTAAAAATAGGCCAAAAACACATTTTCCGAAAACGTTTTCGCTCCTTTTCTGTTTTTTTATAGAATGAAATTGTCATAGGCCTTTAAATATTTCTCCCGGAATTTCGTGGGTAATAAGTTTTTCACGACGTTGTTAGCTTCTATAGTTATTGTTTCAGGAGTGAATGCATTATCACTTTCATAACATGAGGTAGTAGAACTCATTATTTTTGCAAAATATATTAAAATATCTACAGAGGTAAAAATAGAAAAGTAATTCGCGCGCTTTTGTGTTTTTTTAGTTAGCGCGGGTCCGTGCCCTGCCCCCAACACGTACCAGCATGAAATTCATACAATTAGCGTTCGATTTCTATGAATGATATATGTTCTAAATTTAAATGATTTAGATGATGGCGTAGCTTCTTGACCTTCACAAGTGCTTGTAACAGCCTAGACTGAATAAATGACATTTCATTTCAAATCTCTTGCCCGCTAAAAAGTTCTTATCGGAAAAGAGCTATTTTGTTCCCACTTATAGAGGAACAAACACACACTCGACACTTTTCGAATAGAAGGGATGAAAACATAATTTTTCCCTCCTATTTCTACCATTAGTTTGGAAATGAGAAATATCTTTATATATATAATTCTTCTGTGAGTGTGTATGTCACTGAACTTCTCTTAAACGACAGGACCGATTTTGATGAAATTTTTTGTGTGTGTTCAAGGGGATCTGAGAATGGTTTAGATTCACAATTTTGTCCGCTGGACAACCCCTATTTTTTTAGGGCGGTACGAAGTTCGCTGGGTTAGCTAGTATTATATATAATGGCTTTATAGCCATAGGCTTGCGCAGACGAGGGGACTTTTGTCCGTAGAGCACAAAAAAACTATAAATCGTGAAAAAATATCCACCGGGAACTTTTCACCGGCTCGAAGTACACGGTGTGCGATCATTTTTTTTGCCGGATATTTAAAGAAGCGTATTAGCGTACACTATGAAAGCAAATATTCGAGTTGTGTTGTAATTAACAGGAAGTTTAAGAAAACCAAACTTTTTGTGAGATGGATTTATTTCGGATCGAGCGCGCAACGCAGACTAATGTTTGTTGTGACTTGTGTTTTTGCGCAGCGACGCGCGCATAGTCACTCAATTTTTTTTATGCAGTTCCATGCTCGGCGTCCTCGATTTTGTTCGCGGTGCTTTCATCCCCTCGTGCGTTACTTGAAGCATTTTTATTGTAAACGATCCGTTTCGGCGAACATCTCTCGTCTGCGCAAGCCTATACGTTTATTTTCTACAACACGTATATATATGAAAATAATCCTAAATCACAAAGTTGTAGCACTTAAAGATATTGAGGTGGAGGACTTAGAGATATCCAAGCTATCCTGGAATAGAATTAATATTGAGAATATGCTGGTAAGATTTACTGGTGATGGAGCTAGCTGCTGGACTGACGTACACCTCTGGGAATGCCATAAAAAACCTCTTGAGGGAAAATCTGGTTGAAATAAGTACATAATATTAGTACCTAAGTATATTTTTTTAATATAACATCCCTACTTAACGATATACATACATGCATGGAATGATTTTTGTATAGTTAAAATACTTAATAACTATGAACACGTATTTAAAACACTATAATACCTACCTACTACATAGGTATTATGCACCAAATCAATATTTGTTTCTTTAAACTTTTTGCTCTAATACAGTCACACAAATTACTATTAATATTCAACTACTGGTGTCGATCCTGGCGTGATTCTCTAAACTTAAAACTAAATTTAACATCAGTCTCTCTTTTTCATTCTGTATAGAGAATGACATGGAATCACTGTTGTCAAATTTAAGTTTAGATTAATCGTGCCAATCGACACTAGTGTTTTATTATAAAGTACCTACTCTTAAAAGTAGTAATTTATTAAGTATCTATGTCTGTATTGTACTTATCAAAAGTTATTATTATCAGTCTATCTTTTTGTGTTTTACTGGATCTTCCGGTTTTAAACACTCTTCTGGAGTTTTTTCTGATTCTTTTGATTCTCTTGTAAAATGATCGTCACAAATATCTTTACTCGACTTCGTTCTCATTACATCACCAAATGACATTACTTTAGCAACATTCATTATCGAACTGTTATTATCTTTTGGCGCTGACTCAGATTCTTTAGTTTTGCACGTGATACGCCATTCATCAACCATCAATAGATGTTTGCTAAGATCCCATCCTGTAATAATTTTAAAGATTAATAACTACACAATCGTTTATCAAGTAATGTCGCTATGTTATTTCTATTCTGTTTTATAACTTTGGAGTCACGAGACTGTAAATTACGTAATCAAATCACACATCAACCATGTTACTGTAGTTCTATTCCTCGTGAATTATTAGCGTTGTCGTTCGCTCTATTGGGAATGCTGATTTTGTAAGATACGTTTATTTGAATAGAGAATTCGCAAACCCGGGGATTGAATACCTTCAATTATTAGGTTTCTTTTAAATAGAAATTTAACTCGAAATGTTCGAAACCCTTAAAATTTTTGTAAATATAATTTACAATAACTTATAACAACCTTGCATAAAAAACTATAGGTGAAACAAGATAACCCGATACTAATCTTTTAGACTACTGTGAAAAAGGGGTGTACATACTTAATATTTTTTCATTGTGTTAATACCAGAATTGGCAAACGTTACAATCCATACTAATATTTTTTTTTTATGTTATAGGTGGCATACGAGCAGGCGGCTCACCTGATGGTAAGTGATCACCGTCGCCCATGGACACTTGCAACACCAGGAGTATCACAAATGCGATGCCGCCCTTTAAGGAAGGAGTACGCTCTTTTTTTGAAGGTTTTTGGGTCGTATTGGTCTGGAAACACTGCTGGCGACAATATATTCCACAGTTTTGTCGTACGTGGTAAAAAATTATGTACAAAAAAAATTATAATACAAAAGTCGATCTGTCTGTTACCTCTTCAAGTTAAACCCGCTGAACTGATTAAGATAAAATTTGATATAGAAATAGTTTGAGTTCCCGAGAAAAACAGGATAGTTTTTGGATGAAAAAGAGGGTGGAATTTTTTATAGGAATCCAATTTATCCACGCAGACGAACCAAGGGCACGAGCACCCACTAGATAACAAAAAACGAGCGAGCCTTCCAGTAGTCGCGTATGATGTGTAACATTTGAAACCTCACCTTATATCAGTTAAAAAAAAACCTACTACAAAAGTTATAAGCCATTTGAACATTATGTTCTAAAATCAAATCAAATAGCGCGCGCTTTCGCAACTTCCAGTTACACACTTCCGTCCCATTTCACGAAATCACTCCCACAAATTGCAGGAAAGCGAGAGGAAAGATGTTACACATCAATAAAACCAACAAGAACCTGTAGCGAGCAGACCGCCGCGTACTCGCTGCCATTCTCTCTGTGCTATCTGGTCAACATATCTGATCAGTTCTTGAGTGGGCTCATACATAAATTCTCTAGGTGCATTATGATCCTCGTTTAGTACGCGGCTCCACTCGGCTGACTGTAACGTCTGACAAACTTGGGCGAAAGGACGGGGTTGTCCATCAGTCTTTGATGACGGCTGCAAGTTCAAATTAAAAGAACAGAATAAATACCTAAGTTATAAAAAATCATTACACAATAGATAAATAAAAGAAGTTTAAAATCATTTAACACATTGTGTCAGTTGGTTTGAACTACAAAAAAATATTGTCTGTTTTACTGGAATTATTTAGTGATAAATATAAATGCAATGTATAAAAATTAATTTCTTATAACAGTGGCGCACTTTTGTGATATGATTCACCCCATTACAAACGATGCATTGAGTGTTTCGTCACATTCCTTGGATGCGAGGTGGAACGACCAATAAAAAAAACGACGGCTTGCATCCGGGAGTGCCGGCAGAAGTGAAAACTTGAATATTAACGTTGTGCATTTTTGGTATTTTGGAATGGTTAGGGAATTTTGCACAAATTGCTTTATAACTGTATAAAAATACTATCATTAATTTATGTGGTCGAATACAATATTTATTTATTGCGCTTTCGTACACACACATGACAATTTATATTACATTAAAAAGTTTATCTCTCAGAAAAATCAACTTGAATCACATTTAAGCGCATCTATTGTAAAAAAAAATGCATTTTCTTCGCAATAAAGCTGCCACCTGGACGTCCTAGATTGAGACTTCATCATCATCAGCCTATTAATGTCCCCACTGCTGGGGCACAGCACAGGCCTTCCCTATGGATGGAATCGGGAGATTGGGCCATGACCGACCACGCGGGCCCAGTGCGGATTGGCGGGTGGTAACGACTGCAGATGCAGCCGGGACCAACGGCTTAACGTGCATTCCAAAGCACGGAGGAACTCGAGATAGATGTTTTTTTGGTCACCCATCCAATGACCGACCACTGCGAAAGTTGGTTAACATCAAACATCGCAGCCGAACCTGCTAACCACCTGCGCCATCGAGATTAAGACTTAGTTTCTTCCAATATATTGAAAGTCAACAACCTTTCCAATTTTATTGTTTTCGTCTTACGTATTTTCGATTGGTCACGTGTCTTGACGTTCGGGTGTTCAGGCGACGTGTCCTGACGCGAGTTTAATAATTTTTACCCATTTAAAAAAAAGTGTGCAACGCCTATAAAGAAGTTTTCACTTCAAAAATACGTGAGCGATTCACCCCGCGGGGCGACGAACCGCATGTGGGAAAATACGACAGAATATTATTGCTGTATGATATTAGAAACTCTACGTTTCTTTTTGCTACCGCCAAGTTTTATGGGATAAACTTGGGAGATGGGAGAAAAACAAACAGAAGACAAAGCGTAAAAATCTAATCTAAACTAATTTTTGTGATTAATCGGGCTTGTAGGAACTCCAGAAAGTTGTAGGAATGGGAATACAAATGCAATAGGTAGTAATGTTTTTAGCTACTGCTAAAAACAGCAGGGCTAGAGATACTACATATAAAATATATAGCTTGTGTCGTACCAGCTGATAGTCGTTAATAGCAGAAACAATGATGGACAGTAGAACAGAGTGAAAGTATGAACATAAAATGTCATCTGTAGTAGCGTGTTCTTTGATCAGCACATACATTTTTCTCTTGTTTACTCTTGGCATTATAGCATAATTTCTTTCAACATAGACTTGTTTCATATTCTGATATAGTGAAACTTTAGAATTCTCATTGACCAACTCTTTCAACGAGCTACCTAATTTAATTTGAAATCCACATAGTTTTAAATCTGTAATATAAGTAGCAGTTAAGTAGGTTGGTAAAAAACAAATGCAAAAAGTCCAGAAAAAGATTTTCAAAACTCTCTTACCCAATAAATTTGGTCCCAATTGATAAAATATAATTGGTTCTTTTCGATTGATTTCACATGGCGACGCAATTACCTCCTGTTTCAAATATATATCAATAGCTTGTAAAAACCTGGGTTCATTGAGTGTCCGTAAACATACAGCGCGCACAGCAAAATAATTGAAAATTATGTGTAAAATTATCATAAGAAGAAAAATTGCAAGGGTATTTCTGAAAGAACAACATTTAGATAACGTTAGGTTCCAACTTATGTATAAGTACTCGTAAATAAAACGGTTTCTGTTCTCAGTTTTTTTCGTGTAGATTTCTTGTGCACAAATTCTGTTACGACTTACCCAAAAACATATATTATAAAAAGCGCGGTAAATGACGCGATTAAGTTGACTGCAGTTTCTTGAGCAGAATCCTTAGCTGCTACATCTGCCATGTTACCTCGGATTGCGTGGTGTTGAGTCATGGCTGCTCGTGTAGCACCACCTTTTGAAAAATACAACAAATATAAAATGTATTACGTAGCTTCAAAATGCAACTTTATCTGAGTGTCAACCATGGGGAAACTTTTATTGCAATATAAAAAGAACCATCATTATGTATTAATAATTTATTTGTATTAAAAACAATAATAAAAAACAAATAAATTAACAAGAATCAATGAAAACAAGAAAATATGATAAATCATTGACCAGTTAAGTACATGAAAGTACAAGGCGATCCCGACCCCTCCACTATTTGTGGAAGATACGACAGCTGTGTCTACGTCATGTCAGTTCATTCAGTATTTGCAATATTTTTGAAAATAGGCACCAAGAAATACCCACTATATAAAACATTTTGCTTATAAAATTGACGTGCCGATTCGATCGGTGATGGTTGTGTTGTGGCTGGCTGGATGAACAGAACGACAGCACTTTATGGCCACATGCATACGCACATAATCTGATGCACTAAACACCGGGCACGACCTCAACTCAAGCTGTTAATTATTCTTTGAATGAAATTCGTGAGCTTGAGCTACATTGCACACTAATCAGCAGCATGAAAGCTCTATCTAAAGACCTAAAAGTTGATATTATTACTAAAAATCATGAAATAGAAAACGATTTTTTGAGATATTGTGACGAGACCGAAAAAGCCTAGGATTGGCTGAGCCTAAAATGACGTCACCTGCTTGTAAACATACTGTCGATATTAATTTGTATTTTTATTCTTTTTATGGTAAAGACTAGTTATGCCTGCATAGCCTACTGACTGTAATGCCTTAAAAAAGAATCATTTTTTATTTCCAGATTATCAGAAGGCGATTTGTGCAAGAGCAAAAGTTGATGAAAATGGTTTTTGCTGGTAGCCCTTTTCTCCAGTGACTATTCATTAGTTAGTTATTATTCATTCAAGTTCATACAACAGTAAAAATTCGAAGAAATATTGCTTAATATTTACCTGCAACTCCAACTATTGCTTTCATAACTGTGCTTACGCACAGGGCAAAAGATGTGTAATTTTTGAATAAAGGCAAAGCTATTTCTATACACATTGCTGCATCATTAAGTGTATCTGCATACAATCTCCATTTTTTACTGTATGCATCTAAATATGTTCTGCAAAGATAGGACAACAATATAATAAATTGTTTGTGTTCCAGTTTGTGTCATGGCCTTGAGTTCTGAATTTAAATCTGTTGTTTAATTAATAGAATATTTAACAAAGGTTATTGTTTTTATACATGCAAAAGTTCAGCTGCGCTATTTTAACTAAGTGAAGGATACTACTAAGTTATTTACATATTTTTTTTATCATCTTATTAGCCTAGTAACTTCTAAATCTAAACCAAAAACACACATGAGGTGAGGTGCCAATTGGACTCATGTAACTTTTTGTGTTCATCAGGAATGACAATAGTAATTCACAATTTAATTTTCTGAAATGTTAAAGGGATGGTGATATAATTAAAATTAGGGTAAAAGCCCATCATTTAAAAGGTATATATTTGGTATTCCAGGGGCATCATTCCACCAGCAGAGGCTACCATCATTATCATTTTAAAACTTACTCTTGCTAGATTTTCTTTAGAGTCCATGCACTATGGTAGATAAAGAAGCACAGAGGACATGTTTGTAAATTATCCTTTAAAAAATAGTTTAAAGTGCTCACTATGATTTGAAATAGAACAGCCAAAACTGTAACTTTTATTCACATCATATACAATAGTGCCATTTGCAAGCAAAGAATATCAGTGGTAGTAATATACAGTAATTAAATGATATTTTGTATGTAACATATATTATTATAATCAAGAAAAAAAATAAACCAACCCATGAGTAAATGCGAATAAAATTCTTCCTATATGACCACAGCCATCTTTTATGACCCATGTAACTGTTGCTGCTAGAGGCGTAGCACTTGTGTCTCCAACTCCAACACCTCTCAAAACTTCTTGTGTGGCCAAGGTACCTTGAAAATATTTATGAAGCCAAAATCAAACCCAACCCAAGGAGAGTGGATGATTTTCCTTTACCACTGTGTTGTTATTCTTCATTAATAAATTGACTAAATAGTTTAGTTTTGTTTAGCTGGTATGATTAAAGCTTCAAATATATTATTACAAAAAGATGTTATTAATCATATTGTGACTGTTGAAGTGTGGAAAGTACTTATTGGTTACTTGGCACAATGGAAACTCTTTTTTTTTATATATTTTTGATGTATCCTCTGTCTAAATGTCTTTCTATGTCTTTCAAATAAATAACTCCCAAATATTTTACATTGAATATTGTTCAGGCAAGACAATAACAAATTCTGCCTGTACCGGAAACTCGCATCATCTTTCTACCAGTAGGAGCAATTGGGACCCACGTGATGAAAAAATCCCCCTATACTTCTCTCTACGCAATTCTTGTACGCTCTCGACTTTCTCAAGCAATTTTTCGTCTCATATATTTTATTTTGTAATTTCTTTATAATATACGCATACTTGAGCTTTATTGAATAACTACGCATTTACGCCGAAACATATGGACCTTCTTCGCCGCATTTAATCCGCTAGAAGTCTCAGCGACCGTTGGTATCCGACGTTAGCAACTGAATTCATTTTGGACTACAAAATCCTGAAAGAAGCCCTAGAAGAGTAAAGGAACGGAGGTTAAGGCGTCAGAGGACCTGCAGTTGGACCTACATCAAGAATAAACGCATTTTGGTACGGCCAACCATCCTCTCTAACCCCGACCTATCCACCTCATTTGCGTAATACCGTGCTTTTTTCAAATTTCAGTGCTTGTGCTTCGCATTCAAGACAGCCTTGTGCCGCAGCTAGTATCAGCTGTCCTTGCAAGCCCGGGAAAAACCGTAAGTCCTTTCACATTCCACCAAAATGAACCGCGATAAGTCTCCCTGTAGACCAGTTGCTATTAACGAAAATGATGAAATTTTGCTTTCCGAGTGCATAAAAATCCGACGCATTATTAACGGTAGATTGACTAGATTAGAAAATTATATTAATCGTATTTCGTATGAGCAGTTGTCTAGACAAAAGTGCATAGAATTAAAATTGCGGGTTCAATGCGCATCCAGTTTATTTATCGAATTTAGCCATCTTCGAACAAAAATCGAAAATCGAATCGAAGAACACAACGACAATTGTTTGAGAATGGTTATTATGGTGCAATATCTTTGGATGAGCATATTCTCAAGTCCTGCGAAGTGGCTGTGAGTTCCAATGTATGTAACGATGAGTGTAGTGTTATTGAGTTGCAATCATACAATTTGCCTACGGTATCTTTGCCTACCTTCGATGGTGCTTATAAGCACTGGCTCGAATTTAGAGACACATTTTTGTTCATGGTGCACAATTCTAAAGAAATTAGCGATATTGAAAAATACCACTACCTGAAATCGTCATTAAAGGGAAACGCGAAGCTAGTCATTCAATCCTTGGAATTTTCCGCTAGCAATTATTCTGTAGCATGGGAGTTGCTTCTCAACAGATACGACAAAATCGCTCTTTTAGTACACTATCACGTCAAAGCACTACTTGGTCTTCAAAAGTTACTTAGGGTATCTGCGCACCTACTTAGGAATTTCATAGACACAGTGCTTAAAAATGTTAGGCGAGTCTATGGAACATTGGGACACTTTGGTCATTTCTCTTGTTACTGCCAAGCTGGATAAAATAACAGAGCGGGATTGGGAGCAATTTAAATGCAATACATATCACAGTGATTTCAAATCAAGTATGAAGGTAGATAATTTGCTTAAATTTCTACGAGACCGCGACGACATGTTGGAAACACTGCAGGTGTCAATAAAAAATCACGATCTCAATAAGCATTACGCGACTACGCACTATCCGTCACTAAGCAAGGTGCACTGCAAGGTTTCCACCATTAAGCCGCGGAAACGTATCACTCACAATCACAATGAGCTAAAATGTATCATGTGTAAAGCTGATCACAAGTCATATTCCTGCCAACGATTTTCGGACAGCGATTTGCACACTAAACTAAAGGTTATATCCGCAAATAACCTTTGTATGAATTGTTTACGATCTAGGCATTGGAGGCATGTTGGTTTGGGCCGTGTAGAAAATGCAATAAAAACACAATACGCTAATTCACAACGACCAGCTCAACACACAAGCGGCGGCGGCACTCCACTCAGTATGCGACACCGCCGCGGCTGCGGTCCGTGAGTCTCCCGCTGCGCCCGCGCCTTCACCATCCGCTCTCGCCATCCCCACGTTTCAAGTTAACAATTCGCACATTCATAATTCACGCACTTCAAACCAGTTTGTTATGCGCCCAATTTTATTATCTACTCCAATGATCGAGATAGCAGATGATGAACACAAAGATCACCACGCACGCGCGCTTCTCGATTATGGCAGGCAATATTACTTTAGTTCTCAATTGTTATGTAATTTATTAAACGCAAATATTATACAGTCCACTTACGATATTAAAGGGGTAGGTAATTCAGTAAAACAGGCTGTCTCTGTCTATGATATTGATATAAAATCGTCCATAGGAACCTACTTAACGCGAATGAGATGTTTTGTGTTACCTTGCGTAACATCTACGTTGCCGGCAGCTGCATAAGAAAGCGCATAGTTTATTATATTTAATAATATTCAGCTTGCCTATTCATTACACTTAGAATATTGATGATGTTTGGCAGACATATGTATCTTTAAGCAAAGGTAAAATAAGGCTTTCCAATGGACCTATTTTACAAATTCCAAGTTGGGCTGGATAATTTCTAGCCCCATTGATTATATTACGCGAAAAAACACGATTTTAATATAATTTCATACACCGATAGAATACCAATTGCAAGGGTTTGGGAATTACTGGAAGTGCCTCAAGTTGGACATACGCACTTACGAAGAGCGTGCTTGCGAGGAACATTCGTTTATACTACGATGCGCAATAAAAACGGAATGTTTTACGTGTGCTTGGCGCTCAGAGTCACAAACTAAATCAGGCGAGTTTTTTCCTTAAACCGAGTATCGTTACTTGGCCCTTGTTAAAAAATTAAATGTGAAACACAGCTAATAAAGGCTGTATTTTAATTTTATAAATGAATATTTCGACTAAGTTTATATGACTAAAGTGATGTGTGTATGATGAATACGATCACTCGAACTTAGGTCATGGAGTTTTATTTGTATTTCTAGATATATAAATAAATAAATATAGGTAATATAAATATATATATCAGTTTAAATATTCCATTTATTTACTCTAGTATCAGACAACACAAGCTTTGCACTGCTTACTCTGGGGCTACGGTAATTGGTGTGTGTGTTAGAAATATCTGTTTGTTTGTTTGTTTACTGTTTATTTATATGGAACGCCACATTATTTTTACGCATTATGGTGTGTTTCGCAAGCATAGCACAACCACTAAACTTCCGTGTGGTTTTTCACTTAAGCGCAGATAATTTTAATGGTTTGTCACTGAACGACATTCAGATGATGGATGCCTTGTACGCGAATCGCAACGAGACCTACATTTGCTTGTCTGGTGTGATGACCCATCAGTAGCTTTTGGTATTTCAGTTTTAACACCGTAACGTGTATATGAGACCGCGTCTGCACTATTTCTTAATAATAGATGCCTGAAGCAAGTTGCGTTCGAATGTACGGTACTAAGTATATAGAAAAAAAATGGGTGCGTGTACTTATGTATGCGCGTGAGAAGTATATCCTTCTTTGGCATCGTTTAAAATTAGTTTTTAATTGCATGCAAATAATTAATTACAATAAATTAATAAAAAGTCTGGAAAAGGACGAAGTCAATAAAGTTCAGTTTTAATTTGAAAAAATAAATAAATAATCACTATATTCAATTAAAATCGCTACTGAATATAATTTATTAGAACATATGTGATTTGCACTTGTATGAAACTCAAACACGTATTCCGAATATACAAACTAGAAACATGTGGATAAATATTATAAATATGAATACCTATAACTGTTACTTTATTACAAAAAATAAAGATGTGGTTTTTGGTTCTACTACACCAATGGTCAAGAGATGGCGCTGTAGTCTCCTGAATCGCGCTTTGGTTCCGTTGTTCCAGATTAATAAATACTTTTGATAGGCCTTCACAATGCAGTCGTTAGCACCCACTAAATAGAGATTCCATTTCTATTTTGTTGGTAGATTTTCTTAATGTGCGGTAAACACAAAAGTAACGCATGAAGTTGGTCGCTAAAGCGACCAACTTCATGCTGTTAAAATTTTGTGTTACAGTGATGCGCGCGCATCTTAAAATTTCACTCTCATCATTTTTTCCTAACGCGCCTAAAGAAGTATAACTTCAAAAATAATTAATAATGATATACCTATATATAAATGAGACTTATAAAGATTTCTGCACAGACTGCACAAGTTTTGTCGTCTGTCTGCTTGATTTCTCATGTGAAAGTGAGGTTGTTGTTTTTTTTTGTGAGCAATCATTAGCGTCTACTTCATTCCGCACGGAGAACGGTCAGAGAAAAACATTAGGTTTTCTGCTGATGCAATATATCCAAAATTTACCTATCCGATGAATTTTACTTTAACACACTAGGTGGCATTACTTGATAAAATAAATAAATGCACAATTTTATCATTATGTTTCACAAAACTTTGATTCGTTACGTTTACTCAGTTCTAGAATAACATAAGGTAAGGTTTAATCAATTCAATTTCTTTGCAGTTATTGCAGTTAGGCCGGGATGACGAGATACCGCGAGATATGTTGCGCTCATTGACTAGATTTGTGAATGGCTTAACAGCTTCAAGCACTATGCGAATCTTCATTATGCTATATAGGTGCCAACATTAACAGAGGCTGAAAGGCAAATCTATTCTCTTTTGGTGGCGGATCTCCCTAGTGAACGGCTGACTTGTTTTCCCTTTAATGCGTACTGGAGTACTTAGAGTGCACTGGGCCAATGCTCATTCTCAATCGCAATAGTAGCAGGACTACAAATCGTATTTGTTTATTTCACTGCACGCGCAATACACATGGAACTCGTAAGCTACTTGTGTACGAACGCTTTCTTATTCGCATTGAAACGCTTCATTTCGTTATTGGTTTTCAAAAACTCTTAAAAGATTTTAGATAACTGTTCACATGAAATTGTTATATTATAAGTCAGTATCACAACCTCATTTTGGTGGTTTATGGGTGGCAGGTGTGTAAATTTTCTGCAAAATTAAACGTGTTATAGGTAACGCACTTTTAACCTACGAGAAATTCAGCACGGTGTTAACAAAATTGAGGCCGTCATGAGTTCTCGTCCTTTAGTCCTATGTCCACAGACCCCCATGACTTCACATCCTAAAGTCCAGCTTATTCCTGGTTGGTCGACCACTCACTGCGCCTGTATGAAAAGAGTCGACTAGAGAGTTAGCCGGGCTCGAACGGTTGTGGTCAAGAAGACAAGGTGTTGGACGCTGGTGCTTCCAAGGCCGGGGGCATGTTCAGGCAAGACAATAAGAAATTCTGCCTGCACCGCAACGTCGCATCATCTTTCTACCAGTAGGAGCAGCTGGGACCCACGTGATGAAAAACCCCCCCTATACTTATCTCTACGCAATTCAAATTTGTACGCTCTCGACTTTCTCAAGAAATTTTTCGTCTCATATATTTTATTTTGTAATTTCTTCATAATATACGCATTGTACAAGAAAACTGAGCTTTATTGAATAACTACGCATTAACGACGAAACAAATATTATTCATCGAGATTACGAAGTTTTAACATTTGGTTATGAGCCGATATGGACCATTAATTTAATCGCGAAAATATTTTCTTCTGATTATAATATTGGGAGTATATGTGATCATTTTTTTTAAATGTCGGAGCCACCTATGGCAAGTACTTCAAATATTATGAATATGGGACAATTTGCGTTAGTACTAGTTCGAGTGTACACATTGAAAAGCTCGAATGCGTTTGTAATTATGGAACGTGGAAATTTCAAATGAAGCTGCTACTTACAGACCAAGGACTTTGGGATGTTGTATGTACTCGTAAGTCAGATACAGTGTTACCTCATGACGCTCGAGATCAAAAGGCTTATGCTTAAATTTGTCTTAATGTACAGCCTATTTGTTATCCACATGTTAAAAATGCTAAGACTGCACTCAAGCATGGCCTAATTTAAAAACTGCTTATGAAAATGCTGGTATTAAGTCGTACATTATTATTAAAAAGAAAATTGCCTCAAATACGTTATATAGATCACAATAGTATGGATCACTATTTAGCAAATATTTTTCCGTAACTCAAGAGCTATATTGGTTGCTCAATTAATGATGAGGAATTAGCAGAATTGATGCTTATTGGTTTACTTGCTGAATTTGATCTACTAATTATGGCAATTGAGGTCGCTAATTCAAAACTTACTGCCGATACAAGGTGAATTTAAGAGGGGCATAACAACTTCTTTGAATAATAATGAGATATTGCTTGCAACTAAAACTAAATTTGTGCCAACGTGTCACAATTTTAAGCAAAAAGGACACGTTAGACCTAAATGTCCATAGTTGAAAGAAAAATTTAATAAGAATAATTGTAATGCTGTTCAAGAATCGTCATCATCTAATAAGGGAAGTGAAAACTCTTTATTATTTTTTACAAAAACTGCCTTAGTTAGTAACAGTTCTTGTGATAATGATAGCTGGATCATAGATTCAGGTTGTACTAGTCATATGACAAGTCGTAAAGATTAGTTAATTAATTCTTCTCCTACTAGAGCTACTGAGATTATTACTTCTAATAATGATAAGATTTTTAGTGAAGGTGTAGGTAATTTTAATGTAACACTAAATAATAATATAATTAATAATACTCTATATGTACCTAAAGTAGCTGTTAATCTTTTATCTGTGAGCAAAGCAACTGCAAAAGGCTATATTTCAGTATTTGATTCTGATAAGTGTCATGTTTATAGGAACAATGATGAACACGTGACACACAAATTTGATCAAAAATGGGAATTATGGAAAACCAAGAACATAGTACCGGCAATGGACGTGACTCTTTCTTAACCTAGACTGTCTCTTTAAATTTATGGCATCAACATCTTGGATACCTAAGTTTAAAAGGTATGTTACCTACTTCTTCAAGATAACTTAGTGAGATTTAAATCCTTGTACCCAATGCATCGAAGGAAAACAAAAGAGCAAATCTTTAACCCCATGGTCAAGCACAAAGAAGTGTTACAAAATTAGATTTAATCCACACAGATATTTGTGGACCTATATCAGTAGATAGTCGGAGTGGTTGTCGTTATTTTATAACATTTACTGATGATTTCACTAGAAAAACATTTATTTATTTTCTTGATCGTAAAGATCAAATGACAGTTTTGAATAAATATATATAGTTTAAAACTCTAGTCGAAAATCAAACTAATCTTAATATTAAGCGTGTTAGGAGTGATAATGGTACAGAATACTATAATAAAATGGTAATGGTATAGTTCACAAAACAACTGTGCCTTACACACCTCAACAGAATGGCGTTGCTGAATGTTTAAACAAAACTTTAATGGAAAAAGCTAGAGCCATGTTGCTTGTTATTTAAAAAATCATAGTCCAACTGCTGCATTAACAGCTAGTTGTAGCTGTAGAACTATGAACTGGATCCAAAGTGTCTCTCAGTTTCTTACTCCGCAAAATCAGCGTTCAATGCTTGATCCCAAATCAAACATTATGTTAGGATATTATGATCACACCAAAGGCCGTATACAGAAAGAAAGCCGATTAAAGCAGATCAAGCAAAATGTCGGACTCATCGGACGATGATTTGGTTTTGTTAGAAAATGTTTATTTAAAAATGCGAAAAACAGCTATACATCCTATAAATAGAGAAAGGAAACGTTTCGGAGAATACCATCATTTATATGTAAAAAAAAATAAATTTGATGAACAAAGATTTTATACATATACAAGAATGATTCAAGAAACATTTTATTACATTTTGGATTTAGTGAAAAACCGTTTGATAAAAAATTGGGGCAATTGGCATAAACAACCAATCCTTCCAGAAGAAAGACTTGTTGTCACCATTCGGTAAGTACGAAACAAATAATTTTAGCGCTTAGTTAATAAAAGATAGTTATTAGATTTATAAAAAGATTATAACTTAGATTGATTTAATCTAAGGATAATAATTCAAATACAAATTATTTATTATTCGGACCAGCGCGTGGCGGCGCCGATCAGCGCCGGTCCATAGAAAAAGGATCAGCGCCGATAAGCGCCGATCGGCTTTCGGCTTTCTTTCTGTATATGGCCAAAGGTGTAAAGACTTGGTGATGCAGCTGATGGCACTAAATTGATTAAAGCTCGTTCTGTTGAATTCATTGAAAATTTTAATGGTATTAAGTTCAAAACTAACTAAAATATTGACAACATTGATGTGTCAACACACATTGAATTTTATAATTCAAAGACGTCTAATATAAAAACTTTTATAGATGAACCAGAAGGTTCTACATCAAGTGATTAGGCTAATAATTTTGATGTTCTAGATCCTTTAATTGTAGAATCTAATACTCAAGAGATATTGACATCCGAAGAGCTGCAAAGAGATGTATCAACGTTGAATAGTATTCAACAAGACTCTAAAGCAGATCAGTATGTTTCACATGAAGAATCATCAGAGATTTCAAGACCTGTACGTGATTGGCATCCTCCTATTTGGATTAAGGATTGAAGTAAATCATTTTTCTGAACAAGCTTTATCTAGAAAAGTTTATATGGACTAAACAAGCTAGTATAAAATGGAATGAAAAAGTTCACAAGTTTTGGTTAATAGTGGTTATAAACAAGTAATGAGTGAGAAATATGTTTACTTTAAGGATAATGTTATTATTGCTTCATATGTGGATGATTTTTTAATTTGTAGTTCTAATAATATTGAAAAGAAAAGTCTGTATAATTTGCTCAGTTCCTATTTATACATACGTTTTTTAAAATACTTTTCAGACTTGATTTCAAATCAACAGTCACATTGATTTGTATGAAAAATACTCATTAAGTAAGTTTTAGAATTATCATTAGCGAAATTAATGAAATAAATGGGGTTTGCTTTCATTTAACATGTTTGGCACTCTGACTAAATGTGTTAGGTCAGTTACTCACCAGTTATGGTGCTGCAAAATGCTTGTGCAGTATCCCAAATTTGATATGATAAGTAATCTTTACTAACACTATGGGGATAGCCTTGTGGAAGAAAGATTTGTATAAACCAACTCGCCACGTCACGTATTTTGTTTCGATCTAATACTACTATAGAAGATTGTCCTAAAACAAAATTTTAGTAAGAAACAGTACATGTAAACATTTCGGAAGAAATAGATTCATGTTTACCTTGTGGTTTCACATACAATCTTTCACAAGCACTTGACCCATACTTTTCTTTAATTATGATATCAGCTTCATGAAGGATAAACATTGCTGCAAAAGATTTAATGAATATTACCTTGTTATTAACAAAATATTACGTACCGAAAGAATGAAATACAATTTATAAATAATATTTATGTACGTATTTTTTACCATTCATGAATATCAGTCAGGGTACTTTTAGCAGGCGTAAATTTTTATAATTTTTTAATCCTTTGCAGCAACAAACAACTGGAAAATTTTCCTTGACCGGGTGCGTCTTTCACAGATTACTAGATTTACTAGACCAGACTAGGTTTTTTTTGTTCCACAGCGTGCATTTGTTATTATCGAGACACAGACTACATTACATAGATCTCTGAGTACTGAAACCTATGGAGATGCCATACCTACGAAAAAACATTGACCTAAAGTTACTCTTACTGGGAAACAAAAATGGCGCCTTTACATAGTGCTGCCCCAAGGCTGTCTCATTTTATATTGGTATCTTTAAAAACAAGTAATTTTGTGACGATATTTCGACATTCTATAAAAATGATTTATGACGTATCGATAGATATCAATCCTGATATCCCATATAGAAAAATCTCAATGTGATATCCATCTCACAATATATATCATGTTGTAAATGCGAAAGTTTGTGTGTATTTGTTACCTCTACTGCTAAACGGCTGGACGGATTTGAATGAATAGGTGTCTATTTTATTTACCACGCTACGTGAACACCTATAAATAAAGTTCTCCTGTAATCAAATTACACGCAGGTGAAATCGTGACAACCGAAGCTAGTAATAAAACCTAGTAAATAAATAACACGCCTGCCGTTAATAAAATGAACTAAACACTACAAAATAAGCATTATTTTTCGAATAGCAGGGAATGTTGGTATACTTTATTAGTTTCGTAGGAAACGTCAATAAATTAATAAAGTTCGGGCATTTACCCGTTAAAACTATTTAATTGGTATGGAAGGAATCAAAAGGAACATTAGCGCCTGACACTTTAGTGCTCATTAAAGAAGATAATCTTCCACCAATGAAGTGGCGTTTGGGAAGAGTTTTGTCTGTTTTTCCAAGTGGCTCCATCTAGCGGCCGGACGTGGCGACGCGCGAACCAGATGCGCATGTCATTTTTGTAACAATCTCTCACCATTGGGAGCAGCTATCACCGGAAGGGACGAGATGGCGCTGTATATCAATATATAAGCCGACGGACGAAAAGCGGTGCATTTCTTGGCCAGGAAATCTCTCAACTTCGACTCATTTAATATAAGACGTATATATATATTCAAATAATGTAATGGAAGTTGAGATAAATACATTTATATATTCATTGGAGAAGTCGCTTTATTTCCTCAAATAATATACAATAAGTTTTCGCCGGTAAGTAACCAATTTAACTAGAAATTGCTATTTTTACAAGAAGTTGATCATGAAACTATATTAAAAATACAGCTTAAGAAACTAAAGGCTACAGGAACCAAAGCCTGATGCCTTTCAACGAATTTTCATGTAGTTTACAATAGTAATCTAGCAGTGCTAGTGTTGTACCCCATCATCGATCTTGGTCTTATCGATATTTTATTTCCCTTTTATTTTTAATATGAAACTTAGGATCTAGTGAATGTACATAGTATAGATTTCTGGGTCTCAAAAAACCGCTTATTCACTAGATATAATTTTAATATTTTATAGTTTTTACAAAATTATGAAATTTACACATGCAACTACCAAAATATAAATAAAATAAATAGATTCAGAAATTGTATGCAGTGATACCATAGCCCCTAAGCTGACTGGGCCTGCACCCGAAATACCTTACTTCATTATGATTTTATTTATTTTTTAAGCATTTAACTGCTAGATGTTTAAATCTAAAGAAAAGTTTACTAGAAAAAAATCTACGCGGACCAGGCAGCGGACGGGACTCGAACCCGCATCCTTCGCTATCCGGGCGAATGCACTGACCATTATGCTACCACGGCCCTATTAGCCGCGTCGAAATTTTCCTAGCCTTAAGCTGCAAGGCAGCGCCATCTTTTCGCATTGTAGGTAACCCACAATGTCAAATGAATACTTTTTCAAGTATTAAACATTTGAAAGAAGAAATAGCAATTATAGTTATGATTTTATTTATTTTTTAAGCATTTAACTGCTAGATGTTTAAATCTAAAGAAAAGTTTACTAGAAAAAAATCCACGCGGACCAGGCACCTACCTTACTTCATTTTCTATACGTCCTGAAAAGGATGCGAAGCGTCAAAAATACAGAGAAAAAGTATTAAAAACTCATTTATACTCGTTCAAAACTTGTTTCATTCAATGAGTGGTGTGCGTGAAAACTTCGAAACAAATATATTTTATTTGTTTTTTGTTTCAGGCCTGTCAACCATCCTGCTCAAATAAATCTCATACATCCGTATATACTAAGACTGACCTAGAAATGGTTAGCTGTTTAGTCATTTTTATTATTATAATATACACACAAAAACCCCACGAGCGATAATACCGCCTGGCCGTAATTATTACCTTCAGCAAATTTTCGAAGTTATATTAAACTTGTCTCCTCTAAAGGAGTATTGAAGTGAACCTTGGACATTGTGTCTTTTATATACTTGCTCATTTATTTTGAAAATTGTTTACTGGATATTTCGTGGCTTTTGTATATTTATTGTTTCCTATTTTACATTATGTTATGGTAGTTGAGCTCAATAAATGAGTATAATTTTCATGTCTGCTTTTAATTTAACGACACTGTATGAAATATGACAGGGAGAAAAAAAGCAGCCTATATTTCTTGCCGGTTCTTCTCAGTATACAAAGTCTCCCGCCGTAGATTTGCGAACCGACGGCCGGTGTAGATTTCGACTTTCATATGTGCTTGTAAAAGCCTAAACGGAATAAATGAATATTGTTTTTTTTTATTTTAACATCTGAAATAAATGATAATAATTAAAACTAGAATTTTATTTTAAATAATTTATCATCGATATGCCCTTGAGTTACTGTTAGTTTTTTCTTTATCATAATGTGCACATGCAGACGAATAACGGAAAGGTTTGTGAAATTGACTAAGCAATTTCTTATTGCTGTCCTTGTATTTAATAACAGTGGTAGGATTTAATTTACGTTGAATAAAATTATCTCCGATTGTTTCCAAAATCCTAATAGATTCTTCTTTCCCTTCAACCCTTTTCTCCAATATATATATGTGACGCCATATGCTTTGACCACAGCAAATAAAACATAACAACGATACTACGACCGCCATGTTTGCTCCCCGATTTGTTTTTATAGGTAAACACGCGAAGTACATGCTTGTGTCATTTCCTTATATGGATAATAAGGAATATTCAGAGTTCTCTTCCAATTTTGTATGGAAAAAAATGGTTGCCTGTAAAGTCGGTTTTACGGGCGAAGATTTTACGTGACAACGTCTTTTTCTCGGTAGAATATTTATTGATATGAATATAATTAAATTGCACAATAGGAACAAGGAATTGAATGAAAATAAGAATTGCACAAATTTTAACTATAGAAATATATTTTGTTTACTAAAACATTGTACATGTAAACTTAAACTCATCGTAACATTACCGAGCGTTACACTTTTTCATAAGTGACTCCCAGCCGCAACCTAATTTAAGACGTTGTCACGTCAAAAGCAAATTTGTTCTTACGTTCGATGGGGGCAATACTTAGTTTTCATAGAAACCTTGACGATTACCATACTTTGAGGAGCTGTCAAAATCGTGCTTGGGCCTCTGATCTGCGATTCTGAGAATTTATTCTAACCATAACTGGATAGAAATACAATGGTCTAGATACTGGCATGATTCCCTTAATTAAAAACTAGATTCAACATCATCTTTCCTTTTCATTCTGTCTATAGAATAAGTAAAAGTTGTGAAAATAAAGTTTAGGTATTGCTTTGTAGGGACAAATCCTAGACATAATATTGTCCGTCATGCTAGCGTACACCACATCAAACTCGAGATTTTACTTAATATGCTATTAAACAGTGCCTTATTAGGTCAAAAATCTTCTTCTTCAGTTTATATTAATGACTGTTTTTATTGTGTACTATAGTGTACACCAGGCCATTCTCGAAAACTGCTAAAAATTAGTTTCAAAGTTTGTTAGACTAGGTACCAATTTTTACAGAAAATAGTTTTCCAATAGTACTCACACCATAATATTAATAATCCAAAATCTGTATTATGTTCTGTTCGTGGAAGAGATGGGATCTTATTTGACGGCGATGGATATACATTCAACGGAGAGTTGGATAGCAGTCATCATAGTAGAAGTACAGGCATGTTGAGAATTGCTTTATTAAGATTTTTTTCGAAAATTAAAGTGAAATCTGCTAAATACTGATTCACGAGAGTAATAAGTAATAACTTAATTTGTAAACATTAACTTGTAGATAAAATATAAATTAAAATATTACGATTTTCAATACGAAAATGATCAATTTGTCATTCGTTGGTGCTCCACTTCTCCATCTACAATTCATATAAAATTTTTCTTCGTGTCTGTGTGTCTGTATTTCAATACATTTGAATGAATGAGGGCTATCGCGTATGAATCCGCCGCTAGAGGCGCTAGTGTAGCGTGTGAGGTCTCCGAAATGTCAAATGTTATTGCTTGTTGGTTGACTACGCGGGTTTATTTCTAATTACAATAATAATGTTAAAAAATTTTGTGAATAATTGGTAACAATGCGGCTTAATTATGGCAAATATGAGTTATGTGGCAATGAATGTCAGTTATTAAAAATTTGAGCTTAGAAAAATGATTATGTTCCCATTTTTTCCGAACAAAACGGAACTGCGCGTCACTGTGGCATGGCCTATTATGTTTAGGATATTTCTTTTAGGATTCTTTTGTGTTAAAATATGATCTAAATGTAACCTTTGATTTCATGTGCGTATTAATAAACTTTAAAAGTTACAATTTAGGACCTCACTCAACAGTGGCGCCGTCTGGTGAGGCAGAAAGTGGAACAATTCCGCTACGAATACTTATGGAATTTTTGATAGAAAATACTGTTTTCTATTTTAGCAAATGATAAATGTATAAAATAGGTAGTGCGTATTTATTTAAGTGCTTTTGATCATCTATCATTCGCTTAAATTTCACTTTCTGTATGCGCTGCCATAACGAAAGCTCAGAAAGTTATTTTAAAGTAATTTTCTTTGTCTGTTCATTTGTGAGCTATCGTTGTAAATTTTGCATAGTGTTGCATAGGTCATGTAAAAATTGGTTGCATTTTGCATTACAATAAGCCGTTTTCAACAATGGCCTAGTGTTCGCTTTCTTGATCGCTACGGCAGTGTACATCATTAAAAGGGTCTTTATTATTACCTAAACCAAAAGGAAGAATTTTATTTATTTTTACACTATTTACGCAGGATTTAATAGCACAAGTAACAATTTTGAATTGGATTTGATGTAAGTTATTATAGCGGACCGGCCACATTCTGAGATATTTTTCTGAACTTCATGATATCAGTCTCGCGTTTTCATTCTCTGTAGAATGTAAAAATGTATTAAATCGACTATGTGTAAAACAAGAATTTAGAAAACTGAAAATCAGGCTGTCTGGAATACTTTTCCTCTGCATTTATGTGAGAAGTAATATCACAAAAAAAAACATTTATCTTTTTAGTTTTCATGGTTTTTCATTTTCAATTAAATTTTTCCTACTTTTTTCTTTAGTTCCTTGTGCAGGCTTTTATAAATTAAATTATCTTAGAAAGTTTTTGCTTGTCTCTGATACACATTCGCAATATTGACAGAAACTTGCTGTAAAAATAATTTTGTTTACTTCCATGCATGACGTATTACTACACTGCCTCATAAAATGGCAAAGTTGTGTTTTGCTAACTTAATGATGTGAAAGTGAAATCTTAAAATGGCTTCAAAGGTTGACTGTCAAAAATATGACGATAAGTTTCGTGATCTAGGAATTAAAGTAGAGGACAATATTGGCGAGCTCCAAGTAGTTGAACGCAGTGACAGTGAATATAGTGACGATGACGATAAAGCCATTGATATTAAGTCTACCACAAACCAAACTATTGGAAAACTATCAGACTTGGTGCCTGGTTTGATCACGTCAAAAGTTCCTGTTGTACAAAACAGTAACAATATTAGTAATTCGGAAAATGTTCATATTGGTGATAAGACTATCATCCATGGCTCAGTCATTATAAAACAAGTAATAAAGAGGAAGGGCATTGACAATAGTTCATACACTGAAACTGAAAATGAAAACAGACCAAGTACAACTTTTCCTCCCAAAACAGTGTATGAAGTGAAATGTAAGTACCACATCTTTATTAAATTTAAATATTATTTTGTTATATCTGTTGGTTTCAATTTTGTTGTTAAGCAATTTTGTATATCACCAATTACAACTTTTCCTTGCAAAATAGTGTATAAAGTGAAATGTAAGTAACACATCTCTGTTAAATTTAAATATTATTTTGTTATATCTGTCCATTTCAATTTTGTTGAAAAGCTATTTTGTGTCATAATCGTACTTTGTTAATGTGCCAAGCAGATTCTTATACATGTTAATTGGTAGTTTGTTGCTATTTTACAAACATGATTTTGTTTTTGTATTCTGTGTTACCTTACTCTAAAAATATTTCAAATACTGTTTGTGTTTGCATTTGCGAAATTTGCGCTGCCACTCATTTGTGTCGATTCTGGCATGATTCTCTTAACCTAAACTTAATTTTGACAACAGTGTATCCTTGTCATGCTCTGTACAGAATAAGTTAAATTTAGTTTTAAGTTTAGTGAATCATGCCAGAATCAACACCAATATCATTTAATTAATATGCTTTCTACTTATTATTTTGTAATAATTAAATTACTATTTTGTGAAATTCTAAATTGAAATATGAGAAGAAAGTGAGCCTTACTTAAAAATTTAATTTATAATATTGTTTCCCTTCTTAAAATGTTCTAACTAAAATGTTTTTCTTTGAAACATAACAACATTTTTTTAACATTTGGAAAGAAGGAGGAAAAAAATTATATAGCTAATAGATTTAGATGATTTATTTTTATCTGTAGTGTTACTTGAAACCAAGTGATTTTGTGATTTGTGGGCAATAGCTGATTGGCAAACAAGAGAAAGAAATATGCTAATAATTTCACTAGCTTGTTTATTTGCTTTTGTATGCTTTTTTATATAAATACTCTAATAGATCTAAATCCATATATAAAATATGCCAAACTCCACAAATTATTTTCCTCACTCAAAAACTATGTGGATGCGCGACTGGTTTGTGTGCTGAAGGGTGTAACGGGAGAAGAGGGATAAGAAATTAATGGAAGACTCACCAGTTCACCAACATTTAGCTGCGAAATAAATACCTCAGATTGGTCCAGCACATTCTTAATACCAGTGGCCACTTGAATACAAAGTTTTTCTTCTGCACAATGCTAACACGATGTGCACAACACGTACAGAGCACTAAGGATTGTATTTTTATCCTTTTTGGAGTTTGAAGACGAATGTAATGTTAACCATGCGATGATAGTCCAAACACTAACGGTGAGGCGAGTACTGGAAGGGAAGCCAATTTATGACCCAGGAACAGGTAGGTATGAAATAACTGGATGGAGATTAAAGGACTACCCTCCTAGCACACTTTAATAAAAATATATATAATCACGTTCACAATCCCAAAAAGGGTCGAACCGAGCTTTAGGTAACATTTGGTTTCACATAAAGCCACATCTGGCAGTATGGACCATTGATATTTAATAATTACAGTAATTTGGCCGAAATATGCCCCTCAGCTTGAGAGAATGCAGTTCTTTCTAAGCAGTAATATATCTGAATAAGAAATCTAATACAACTCAAATAAACTTACAAAAAAAAAAAATTAAGCTTATTCTATTATTATAACACCTAGTGGACTGTATGTATGAGCAAATACTACTGACTGGGCAACGGATAGACCTTGACAACCGGTCTTCGATATACGCCGAATCTTGTACGCACATTCACTACCCTAGTTACCCCATCTTTCCCAGGAAACATCTTGTCAATAATACCTAGTGGCCAACACAGCAGAGAACTATTCTCTGAATGAAGCAACACTACAGTACCTTCTCTAATTTCCATAGTGTCCTTTATCCATTTATTACGGCATTGTAATGTATTTAGATATTCTATCTTCCATCGCTTCCAAAATGAAAGAATAAGGCTGTCAACGATGCGCTTTCTATTGGTAATACTGATATTTTCAGAGGTAGTATCCAATGGGAATGATTTCAGTGGAGTCCGTGAGCCGGAATTAGTGCTAACGGCTCCGACGGATCTGAACTTAGGACGGATAATGGTCGCGTGTTCAGTACCGCCTCTATCTGAGTCAGAAGAGGAGTCATTTCTTCGACTCTTAAGGAGTTGAATACCTACAACTTTATTTAGGTGCATTTTTACGGAACGAATGTTGCCCTCCCAAATTCCAATGAAAAGGGAAGAAGCCGGAGGATTGAGTTTCCATTCGATGGAGTTACTTAATAGCTCCGAATTTACCCTGTCATTATAATTCTTTGATGAGATTAGGTTATAAATTTCATCAAGATATGACTTCGCGCCAATAAAATTGGTACCACAATCAGTATAAACATACTTGATTGGACCTCTGCGTGATATAAAACGCTTAAATGCATTTAAAACAAATCTATACTCAAATCGCAAGACTCAAGGACAAGGACAGCTTTAGTTACGAGACACACGAAAAGGAAAATATACGCCTTTTGACTTCGTACACCGCGTCGACGAAACGGAATTACATATAAAGGTACCGCGTAGTCTATTCCCGTGTGATAGAACGCCTTAGCTTCCTGTACCCTACATGCAGGTAAGTCTGCCATTATAGGAAATTCATTTTTAGGTCATAATTTGGACCAAATGTTACAAAGTTGCACTCGTTTACGGACGATATTACGTGCTGAAAACACACTAACTTCGCTAAAATCAAATTACCACAAAGTTCCAGTCTGGCAAGCGAAGCACTACGTACAGGTGCTACTCTCGACTTGGCACAAAGTAAATTAATTACAAATTAATTTTCATTTGGAAAATAAATGTGAAGATAAAAGTCTGATGAAAATCCAACGTGTCGCGGAATTTTAATATTTTGTAATTCTGGCAACTCTAATTCAAACTGTCGCCAAAGTTGTATTGTTGATTCTGGTGGCGTGTCATCCCAGTCTATATTATTTGTCCATAAAAAAATTATTATTAATTTTGCCAGTAAAGTGACTGGTGCTACGAATCCCATCAAATCCCACAATCGGGCAATAGTTGATAGAATGTTGCGCTTTGTACATTTACAGTTTCGCACATTGCCAGTAAAGGTAAAAATATCTTCCGCCGGTAACCAACGAAGACCTAAGATCTTTAAATAATCATTAGGGCTAAATTTGACATCGGATAATATACGAGAAGCAGATGGAATACTCTGCATGACTTCACGCGAGTTACTAGAGAATTTGACTAGTTCGAACCCCCCAGCGTTAAACATCTCAATTAATTCGCATCCCTCGCGATCCGGGCGAATACACTGACCATTATGCTACCACGGCCCTATTAGCCGCGTCGAAATTTTCCTAGCCTTAAGCTGCAAGGCAAGCTGTCCCGTCCGCTGCCTGGTCCGCGTGGATTTCTTTTCTAGTAAACTTTTCTTTAGAAAACATCTAGCAGTTAAATGCTTAAAAAATAAATAAAATCATATCTCAATTAATTGTTGAGATAGTAAGATACCTTCAGATGGAGTGTCACAAGAACTGGCTAGGTCATCTGTATATAGATCGCGCTCCGCCACCTGGCCCACGACCGGGAAACGTGAACCTTCATCTACTATCAGTTGGCGGACTGTCCGAATGGCGAGGTACGGGTTACAACAAAGGCCAAATGGTACTCGCGTTACTTGGTACAGTTTTAATGGTTGGTCAGCGTCATTTCGGTATAAAATCATTTGAAATCGCCTGTCTTCAGGTCTTACTAAGACTCGCAAATACATTTGACGTATAAGCGCTAATCGCAACTTTAAATAATCTAAAATTTAATATAATTATAAATAAATCATTTTGTAGATTCGGACCAGTGTGCAAAATATCATCTTTTGTGGCAACCCTGACATGGTCTTCATACTTGCATCAAGAACTACACGCAGTTTAGTAGTGCACGGCGGGCAGCCGCGGACATGCCGCGCCGCCACTGCCCGCCGGGCACCTGCGGCGCGATCTTTTTGCCCTCTGTATGCTTTTGAAATATAGGATTCACTTTGTGCTATTATCGTCTGCTAAACGCCTAAATGGTGGTAGTGCAACGATGTAACGACCGCTAGAATCACGCGTGGTAGTATCAGAATAAAAACTTTCGCTTTCTTGTTCAGAGGACAGTGTATTCGCAGTAGGAACGTCTTCTAATTCAAAGAACCGGCTTAGTTTATTTTGTAAGGCAATATTTTTATCTAAAGTGCAGTAAGTATGCAAACGGAGGACAGAACTGGAGCTTGACCATAAATTATAAATCCAAACAACGTTTCAATAGCGACGGGCTCATTGACGCCGCGTGTAATAATGTTTGGTCGAATAATGCGTGCGAAAAATTCAGACCCCACAATCAAATCAATTTCGCCTGGCTCAGAATACCTAAGTGTGATCAGCTAATGGAATATTATTTAAGTACTCGAGACGTCCGACTTCTATTTTAGCAAATGGTAAGTCACTTGTAATACGATGTGTTACCAACGGTTTAATTACTAACGTTTGCCACAGAACAATAGTTTTCCGCTGTAGGCATAAAACCTTGGCAGATAGTTTGGACCTTTCTTTGGAGTTAATTTGCCCATTAAGTATTGAATTTGGCATGTCAACGTCTTATAATTCGATGGAGCCGGCTGCATGCACGAAAAAACATCGCTCATGCGGCGTTACCTCGCTCTGCTATACAATAATACATTTACATGTTTTCGTCAAGTATGAAGTGCAGTGAAAAGTGAATGTGGTGTCAATTGTTTATAGAAACGATAAAGGTAATGAGTCTTCCGATATTAAATATATGTTCAGTGATATATTGTCGAATATTCGTGCTTTCATCATTAAAATAAATAGCATCGGTCCGCTAGTGCAGCGATTGTAGGTTATGCTATAATTGTCAAAACTATAACAATAAGTTAACAGAACTATTTCACGATGAGTAAAAAATCAATTGCTTTACTATATTTCGATCGAAATAATTGACAGACAACCGATTTTTTCATTTTCACTCAATTCAGTATTATCGTGA